TGTGATGTCTACAGTAAGAAAAGAATCATCAATGACTGCTTTGGAATGTGCACTGCGTTCCGACGGTAGTGCTAAGCGAACCGTTTCATTTTTAAAGCTCGGTTATAAGATCTAACAGATCTTCTTGTTAGTTTTTGGTTTGAGATTTTTTAAACTAGTCCAATTTTCAGTTTCCATTGTCCCCTACAGTATCCTTTGTCATGGCTCAAACAGTAGTGTTCTACGTCAAATTACACAGACTGAGCATTACTTTGTTAAAATTTTTTGTGTGTGTTAGGCTGCAGAGTCTGGCTATGGTTCGGAGTCGAGTCTGAGGAAAGGTGGTTCTATGCTCTCGCTGTCATCTGTCACAAGTTTATCCACAACAGCATCATCTTCGTCATTCAAGGTTACAATGATAGACATGTTATTGTTAGCTGTATTACACTTACAGTCATCAAGTACATTTTCTGATTTTAAAGAATGATTGTGACTAGAAGTTGAAAAAGCCATTTAAATTAACTTTGACAGAAAGGAAGAGGCCTGCGTGAAAAGCTGATGGAACTGGAGACCTTTAGAGATATTGTTTGTCAGCAAATAGACACCCTTCAGAGTTACTTTGATGCTTGTGCTGGAGCAGGGGGAAATCACAAACAACCTTCTCATGTTGATGGCCATGATCGTGATCTCTTTGGTAGTAATGATGGACGTAAGTGATGATGTATTTTGTTTCTTTATCTGGGTTAGCATTGTCCCTGGAATCTTGGATTTAGACATGTTCCCCAGAGGCCTTTGAATTTTTTTCTTTTCTTATTCTGGGAAGATATTCAGGGTCATTAGCCTCAGTTGCAAGCATTTTCAAGTCCAGTACAGAGGACACAAATATGGCTTAGTGCAACATCTCTTTTTAAGTTTGGTATCATGAAAAGTTTTATGGACGGCTCTTTTGTCACTTTTCCATCTCCCATAAAGCTCACTAAGCTAACTGAAAGCTAATTTTCCAGTGGATCACGATGCCGATGATGAAATGGATGAACTGTCAACTACTCCTACACCTGCCACTTTAAATCAAATTGCTGATAACCTAGCTGGCAGAAGAGCAGCTCCTGATGGCTTTGATAATCCAGTAGCAGTATTGTCTATTGCAAATGCCAAAGGGGTTGATTTCAGGGGAGAGTCCATCACATTCAAAGCGACTACAGCTGGGATCTTGGCAACTCTTCAACACTGTATTGATATCATGAACAAAAGGGAGGATCACTGGCAGAGGAGACTGGATAAGGTAGAAAAAGTTAGCTTAGGTAGCATTCCTTTTTGGCCCATCTTAGTCTGGGTTTAAAGTAAAGTAACCTACAGCTGTGATAAAGGTTACTTCAAAGACCAGAAATATTGATGGCTTATTTCAGCTTCACCCGAGAAATTAAAATGATATTTTTTAAAAATGCAACCTCCAGACTTTTCTTTTGTCATTTATTCTGGACATTCATGTGTGACTTGCGATTTATGATATGTGTGAGTTTGCTTGTGTACCTAATTTGTATTGTAAGACACTGTTATTTTCCTTACTAGCATACATGTTTTGTGAGTTGCAGGCAGGAAATTTATGAATAGTCACATTAGAAAGGTTCATGCCCCTTCAAAATTCTACATTTGGTTAGATAACAAAATGAATGAATTGTCACTCCAATGTTCATGTTATGTACATGTATAAATGAGTGCTTGGTACTACAATCACTGTACCTCTGCTTGTATACCTGACTACAGTGGTTACAGTATATACCAGCCCTCAAGAAATCAACAGTTACTACAGAAATGAGCACATTGTAGTTGGATTCAGAGTCTAACATCTTCCTTACTATTTTCAGGAAATAGAAAAGCATAAGAAGGCTGAGACAGCAATAAAATCAGCAGTTGTAAATGCCAGGAAACAGGCATTTATTGGAGGTCCAGATTTTGAGGTGAGGGTGTGGTGATTTTGATAGAATCAAGAACAAGTGGGATCAAGGAACAAGCTTTACAAGACTTGGTAACGAGGGTAGAAATACATTTTAAAAAGAACTGATGATTGTTTTTACACAGCCCTAAACACTTTTCAAGTTGTCGCATCATCTTCCATGATCATAACAATGTTACATGTGTATTTCATTGCAATCTTGCACTCAACATTGACAAAAACTATACAATGCAGGTACAGTATCCCATAGTTTTTCAAAGACATGTACTTCTTTATTATTATGTTGTTTCTTTGAAAGTAAATTTAACCCAGTTTACTAACACAATGCAATGCATACATTGATGAAAAGCCAATTATTTTCTATATTTATTTATTTTGATGCTTGTTTAGGAAGGGCCACACAGTGCTTTGAATGAAGAGGAGTTTTATGATGCAATAGAAACTGCTCTGGATCGTCAGGATGAAGAGGATGCCATCCATGTAAGTGTGCCTTACTATTGTTTTCTTTAAGAGTGCTTTTATTATGAGTGTTCACCCCAGTGCATGTGCCTTACCCTACGACATAAGTTAGGATGTTGACTGTTCACTCCTCAATGGCCACACCATTATTTGTTTGTATGTGATTTGTTCATTGAATCTCATAACAATAAACATTCTAACTTTTTTTGCATAATTCTCAAATATATTTACTCATCAACAAATGAAACATTTTGATTCCATCAATAACGTGAATTATCATTAATGATTTGCTGACTTAGCAACAGGTCAATCAATAAGTAAAACAATCAAGTGCGTGTCACTGAATGTCTACATCTAAAGAAGGAAATTGAACTTGCTTGTTGTGTTACAGGATGATTTCCAGGGAAGCACCTTTGTACCACCATCAGAACTGATGGTAGAGGAACCCCCTCACAGATTAAAAACTGAGGTACACTATTATAGTGGAGTGAAAATGTTGTTTCAAACAAGCCACAAGAGTTAAGTTTATTTCATAAAGACATGCACTAAAAGGGAACAATGGAGGAAATTTTAAGTGCACACAGACCTGATAATTTAGGATATTTTGCCTCTAAAATCAAATCTGCAGTGTAAATGAAGTATTGGAAAGTCTAGAAAGAGGTTTGGTGTGAAGATACCAACCAATTCATTTCTCACAAAGGATTATTTCTATATTTTGTGTAGGTTGTTATATATAGCAGGGTAATATATTTTGCAGCCATGTTAAAAATATGTAGAGAAGATATCATTTCATTCCTGTTCATTTAGTAGTGAGTCAACTGACCACTTTGGTAAATGGTTTAACTTGACAATTCTGCCTACAGCATAGGTTACTAGGGTGCTTACATGTACTTACTATCAATGCAACTGTAGTTTGATACAACATTTAACTCACCAAGAGGGTTGTTTTGAAACTAGACATATTTTTTCATACAGGTTGATGAATCAGTAAAGGCAAGCTTGCAGATTGTTTTGGAAAATGTAGACCATAACTGGAACTTAGTGTATGAGGATGGAGATTTGAAGGTAGAAACTTTTTTTCAACTTTCCCTTTACAGTTTTGTAGAGTTTGGAACAGTTTGATTTTTAATCAATTCTTCTGACTCCAGTATCTGCTTGATTTTGGCATGGTTTGTAACACAAGTTTAAAGTTTGTTCACGGTGTTAAAACAGAAGCACGGATAATATTGGCAAGAAGAAGTCGTTTGTACAGCTGGATGTCCTTTTGTTATAAGAAAAAACAAAAAACAAAAATAACATGTTTTCTCTGAACCACCACCAGACAATCTAATATTTGCCACACAAAAGAATATTACAAAAACATAAAAAATAGGCTAGATGATATGTATATATATGTACGTGCATTGCAGTTATCTGTAGGAAATTATCAAGTATCATTTGGTAGGTTCATTTAATATGTAAGTATTTTCCCCACAGGTCCACCGCCGTGATTATGAAGAAGGAGGTATAGTTTTGGATCCCATGAAAGCTACACATACTGTACAGGTACAAGCATAGTGTAGTTGTACATGTGCATGTACTTGTTCTACTTTTGATTGTGTAAACAAGCTAACAGGCAAACATCAGTGTCAGCTGTCGTTAACATACACTACAAGTGTTTGTTAAAGAGCAAGAAAGTTTTCATGTATTTTGGCAAAGGTATGAAGTAGTGATCGTTGAAAAACTTTTCGAATCATGTTAGTAATATCTACTTCCAGGGACAAACATTATTTTTATCAACGTTTTCAACAATGTTCGTTCCTGACTACAGACCTTTTCCATACCCGAACATTTATTTCTTGTCTTTTATTTCTTGCCTTTTGCTACTCTTGGAACATGAAAGAGTAGTTGCCGTAGTTTCATGATGGCGATGTTGCTGAATTTGATTTAGTGTCATATTACTGAGTGTTTTTGGTTCCATTGTCAGGGTGTCACAGCGAGAGAGATGGCTCACTACTTTTTTGACAAAGATGTTCGCATGGATTGGGAAAGTATGTACTGTAATATTCAGCCAAGAGTAGTGTCAAACAATCATGCAGAAAACTGGTTTTTTATGGATGTTAATTTAATGAGTTGTTATTACTGATCCTATGCAGACACCCTGAGCTCTAATAAAACATTTTATGTACACCATGTAGCAGCTGATTTCTTGATGTAAATAGCAGAGATGGTGGTGATGTCGCTTTTTTGCCCCATTGCCTGAAGAGACTTCTTTTTTCTTTTTAGCTGGTTAGCAACATAAACAATTTATAAACAGAGTTCTCGCGAGCAGCTTGTCTAGGGGGAGAGATTTTGTATCATTATTGCGTGAAACACGAGAAGATGTTAAAAAACTTTCTTCATTACCTCAGCTCTGTATATGCTTAGATATGTCAATAGTATAGCTTCTACATAATCCCTTAACAAGTCCCCGCCCTTAACAGAACAAACTGAGAAACAAGTGTCGTTTGTTTGTATTCTCTGTGCAGCCACATTAGAGTCTTCGAGAGTTTTGGAACAACTTAGTGAGAGCTCAGTGATAATGCATCAGATTTACAAACGCGTTTGGCCGTCCTCCCAAAGGGACACTGTTTTTCTTTCCCACATCCGAGAAATACCGTCCTACGATGCTGGCGAGAGACAGGATAACGAAGTGGGACGACCATGGATTGTTTGTAACAATTCCCTGGATCATCCTGATGCTCCGGTATGATTTGTAATTAATAATTATTCCACGAGCGCGCGTTGAATATGGGAGATGGTAGATAGCCAACGAGGCTCGTGGCAATGAGTTGGCTATAGTGATCTCATATCCAACAAACGCCCCCAAAATATAGAAAACTAAAATGAAATAAAGGTTAAAAACGCCCCAAAAAATTACGCGTAGACCATGGTATAATGGTTCATATACCATGATGGTTAAGCCAATGAAAACTCTTGAATTGCATTACCCAATGATCCAGTTTTTCATCAAATAAATGTACAAATGGTTTACTTGTGTTTGATAGTGATATGTGAGTACACACGAGCTGCTAGTTTACCAAATGGTTTGAGGGCGACGTGATATCTGCCAAATTTACTCTACATGTATGTGAATCAAGGACTTCTTTCTGCTCAAAAGTCAGACTACGCATAGGAAATTGCAAAAGCTAAGGGCAACAAAGCCTTAGCTTCTTGTAAAGACATGAGTGATCAGCGCAGTTATGTTAGCTTTGTTAGCTCCTTGTTGATTGGCATGTAAACCACCCGTTAGTTTTAGCATGATACGCGCCAAACCTGTTAACCCATACTGTGTCTTATCTTTCAGACAAACAAGTTCGTTCGAGCTATGATTACGGTGGCGTTATTTTGTCAGACATTTATTGAACCAAGGGAAGAAGGACAAAAACTCACCCGAGATCATATATCCTGCCAAATTACTTACACGGCAAATGGTATGTGTTTTGTTACCAAGGGTACAAGAGGGGTGGGGTGGGGTGGGGCTAAAGGGGGTACTAGGGGATATGCGCGGGAACGCTTCTTGGATCCTCTACCCTTGCTATTTTCACTACCTCGTTCAGATCTGACCTTACTTAGGGACTGCTTCCGTTCGTGTGTTTTCCGATTGTGAAAAAATGGTTTCTGAGAATTATTCCTAACTACAAAACGTATTAATAGAAAAAATAGCATTATAAACTGCTTTCTAGAGTGAACAAAGCATGCCCTGTTTCAGGCCAAAATTTTCAAAATGTAAATCCCATTTTAGATCAAAACGGCTCAAACCCCGTACCCTTTGGCGCGGCACATACATCACATTATCCATTCTGTCAAAATCTAGAGGCAGTCGTAAGCTAATCTATGATAAGTAATGGTCAGCGACTGTGAACACCCCTGCAAAGCAGTTTGACAATGATGTGCAAGAAACTTACTGGACGAATCTTTGTCGAGGAGTGTTACGAGTGGAGGTACAAGCGTCAATAAAGGCTTTTAAAATATAACATAACCTTTTGTCGTTGTTCACAGCCTCGTTGCTCTTCTTTTTACAGTTAATCCTGGGGGATGGGCTCCTCCTTCAGTAGTACGCGCTGTCTCTAAACGTGAATACCCGAAGTTTCTCCGCAAAATCAGCAGCTTCTGTCAAAACGCCTGCAAGGACAAGCCCATAACCATGTGAGTCAATCAGCGGGTGCCTACAGAGGAGCATGTCACGGCCAAGGGTATGAGCTTCTCGGAAAATCTGTGTCAATGAGAACTGGAAATACAACACGTCTAGATGGATCTTTGTCGCTCGCAAAAGAATCTCCAGTTCAGGGCAACACTGTGATTAAAACAGACAAGTGATCAGGAATTTGCTTGGTTTAAACCGACAGTGATCAATTGTAATTGCAAGCCATGAGAATTTTGTTACAAACCAACGAAATTGTATACACTGCTAGCCTCGCTGTCTATATGATCAGCCTACGTGCAGATATTTGTGAGGAAAAATCGATTAATGTTTATCAATTGCTGAAGGGTAATTCCCGAATTAATGACATGGAAGAAGAACGAAAATCGTTTTCCATGTATTGAAGCTAAAATAAGCGCACAACTCAATTCAGAACTGCCGATAACATTTTAATTCACTTTACAGTATCAACTAGGCAGTTGTCTGCTTACGATAGTAATTGTCGATTTTAAAGGCATCGGCAGTCGTAGTGCGCATGTCACTTTTAGAATAAACACGTAATAAATTAACAAATGTGAATGTACAGCTTTTTAAATTAACCCAAAATGATAGAAAATACGCGCAACGTAAAGAAGAAATTGTTAACAGAAATGACAGTTACAATTACTTGGTGCCTGCTTATTAAAGGAACGCTTTTTCGTTGTACAAAAAATGTTTACATTGATGAAGATCTTTATTGAATTATTCTGAAAGATTAGGAGAAGGACAGTCTATTTTGTTACCGCCGCTGTAAAACAATCATGAGCTAAACGGACAAGAAGTTCAAGAAATATATATTTATTGAGGGTTTGACCGACAGGAAGAAAGCTGAAGACGTAAATAACTTTTCGTTTTCAAAACGACTTCTGTGGAAAATCAAAGTTAATGAACATGGAACAGTGTTAATGAGATCGTGTACATCTTATAATTCTAGTGAATGTTGATAAATACTAGAGAAAATTTCAAGCCTTGATGAGTTGAGATTAATTCTCAGATAAACCATAATGCCACGCCCACGTAAGTATGTATAAGGCAAGTCCTTCAAACTGGAGAGCAAGTTAAAGGTTTGCGGGTCTCATGTTAGACATCGAAAAATCAATTGCTTCCTCACAAAATAAAGCGTCTCCTTTAATTTGCTTTTGGATAGTGGAGACAAACTCGAAAGCGGAGTCTTTGCTCCCCTTGAGTAGCGGTCGGGAAACGGGCGACTCTGAAAAGTTCCGATTGGAAGACCAGAAGTATCGGAATTCAGGTCGACTTGCGCATGCCCTAACTGACAAACAAGTGGCTCAGTCGAGTCCGGCGTTGGTGTTTTACTTCCGCCCATTTCCGTTGTTTTTAATCAAAATCTAGCCTGTTACAGAGGTCTCTAGAGTCGCTCGTTTCGTCAAGCTTGCGCAGTAGGGAATGAATGTAGACTCGTGGAACGAGATTGGCACAGAGGAATCTACGAGCCCTTTCCCTCTTGACTCAGTTGATTTGATTTCCTAGATAATTCAACGCTTGTGGCCTTCAGAAAATATCGCTGGGTTGGTGAACTAAACGCGTTTGATCACAGCACCTACAGACCTTCAGGAAGCCTTAAAGTGGCTTATGGGGAGGGGGGGGGGAGAATTTCCAGTGAAGTCCTCCATAGCGAATCAAGCCTTTTATTTAGCAAATGACGAAGAATAAACGTCGATTTCTCAAAAGTGTATGTCGTGGTTGATGTTTTACCAGCAAGTCACCATAGAGAGTGAAAAGCTATTAAAATTGCAAAAAATTAGATTTTGTGTCTTAAGTTTTCATCTGGAGGAGAGTACCAAATTAAGGTCATCCCTCACATTTGCATTGCGCATCCTTACTGCGCATAATTTATGGCGTCATTAGCGCGCGCTCGTGCACGCGCACATTGAAAACATGACGGATTTGCCTTGATATTGAGCTCAGTCAGTTGAAAAATGGCTCTAGCTCACCAACGAACACGGGCACCCCAATTTTCTTTTCTAGTCATTGTAATCAACTAATCATAAGCTTTGCGTGAGAAAAGACTGATCTAATTTCTATTGCTGAAAATTGAATAAATAAGAAAAATAGCAGATACACTTTGGTTCAAATTTTTAATCAAGGATTTAGCTTTCTGTCTGAATCAAACTTAAAACGGTTATTTGTGTCCGACACATTGTATTGACTGTAGTTTAATGCGTGTTCTTATGAGTCCGGACTCACAAAGATGATACAATTGCTGGGAATGCGTTCTTATAATAAGCATTAAATAATGCCAAAATGAGGCATTTTCAATGTCTCACTGCTCCTTAATAAGCATGGGCACCCCCCTTTTTTATTTCAAAATTGAAGTTATCATAGGACAAATATTCAATGGACAAAGTTTGAACAAAAATCTATTGTCACTTTTATTTCAGAGGAATCACCTTAAATGATGATATTCCTAGCTTCTTTCGCGCCATGTTAGAGGTAGACTGCGATTAAGTGCCGGCGCGAGGTAAAAATGTGGGAATTATGAGACTCTGAAATGTTCATCCTTCTTTTTAAAAGGCAGTTTTGTAGATATTAGAGTACACTAGGGTTTCCTGAAAATCTAGTCGGCGACAAATTGGACGCTAAATTGCAGGTTTTTCCACTTCCGAAGACCATCTGAATCGATATCGTTGACATAACAACGTGTTCAGTTCAAAATTCACGCGCACTGACCACACAACTGAGAACGATCCGTGTTGTTCGTGTCCCAGGAAAGTAACACTGGTTGATCTTTGTTATTGGCCGTCATAGTTATCTTGATCATGTAAGGGACTGTGCAATAATCAGGGAGCTTAAGAAACCACGACGGCGACGGCGAGGACAACGTCGATTAAAAAATGAGAGTATATTTTAACTACGAATCTCGCGATACTCTAAAGTCATTTAAATTTTTTATCACTGTCAAAGCTATCACGAAACTGAATCTAGGACACATCGATATATTCGAAATAAAAATTTGAAAAATTAGCCGTCGTGGTTCACGTTCTCCAGACAAGGCAGAATTTGGTCTTGTCACGTTGTTGTTTTGCAGAGGACGGCAAAGAAATGTACTAAGAATTATAACTCACGTGCACAGCCATTGTTCTCCTCATTAAACCTTTTGTTTAGCGACGTTGCCGTTGCCGTCGTGGTTTTCTTAAGCTCCCTAATTATCAGGAGGGGGGATGGGGCTGAAAAATGAAGCTCATATGGAGAAATACTACGTAGGCGTTGTGCCTCCCACCAACAAAGATAAGTTAAGTTCTGACCCCCCCTCCTCATCTCCCAAACATTATGACCAACTCCCCCCCCCCCCACCCACATTTATAGTAAAAGCTTAAATATACCTGAACTCACTGCTTTCTTTGTACTGTAACACGTTGGACATCAGCGTCTGGGACAAACAGTACCTCATAATTACGTTCGACAAAGCCGTCCAATTCTGAGCAGCCTGGATTGTGCATCGTCTTCTGAGTCCTCTGGGTCGTCCTCTGAATCACTAGATGACCAACAAGAACATGACGCAGAACGCGAGCTACTAGTACATTGCCGCTTTCCCTCCACACTGATTTGTGGAGTGGCACAGGAGCGAGACCGACGACCGACCAATGTCGCTGTCCTCGCTTGGTTAATTGGCGCGAAAATCAGATTTGCCGCGCTTTTCGCCGCTCTGCATCATTTATCAAACAAGGCCGAGAAAACATACATAGTGGAGTACAGACAGGGCATTCAGTGTGTGACACGAATAAATAAATAAAAATAAGGTTCATAACTCCTACTAATATTGTAATGTTTCAAAGAAAATAATATAAATAACGTTTAGAGAAATTGGAAGGAGAAAAGATAAGATTTTGGGAACGAGGTTGGCCTTTGGTCGCGCTGCCGCCGTGTTTTGGCGGGAAAAGGTATGCTTTGTTTTTAGAACCTTTGTGAATCTCTCGAACCTCTGTAAAGTAGTGGATCGATTGGGCAGAAAATGGAACTTTCAAGTCCTCCAAAACCAACTCGAATAGTAGATTGTTTAATGCCAGATGCAGCAGAAGGAACCTCTTCTCCACAAACTGGGGAAACAACTCGACATCACCGCGTTGTCAGCGAACAAGTCTGTGAAGTCAGTCATATGGAAGCCGCTAGTTTGCCAGCTTTGGCTGGTGAAGTGGCTGTCGCGCAAAAGCAGCAAATTAGCGAACTTAGCAAGAAACAAGAAATACTCGATCAGCTGAAGGTAAGCTCAACATCATGAGGTTTATCGTCATATTGTTAACACCAGGAACCCCAGTGGGCTCCTGTGAACACTAAACGATGTCTTCTTTTCTCTATCTTGTTTGCCCTTTATTTTTTACTCACCGTGTGGACAAAATCAGGACAAGACCAACCAAGGTAAGACTTATGTGTAAGTTAAGCTTACAATGAATATACTTTTATTTGAAAATAATGATATTATATTAAGTTCTGTTTTATTCTACTTTGGAATTGCTTTCAAGAGGTTCTTACAAAATGCTAAATATCCTGAAAGAACCTCGGCATCCAATCGGGCAGATTTTATTTGATTTTATTCTTACAGTTCAACTGAAGATCAAATCTGTAAAGGAAGAAATTGCTGTCGTTTCGAGAAAAATTTATTTGACCCAGGATGAAGCTTCTAGAAAGAAGGCAAGATGCGAAGAGCTTGACAGAGGTACTCGGAAATGTCTATTGATGTTCTACACCTCACCTACTTTGGAATGTGTTTCGACATTTTAGAGGCTTACGGGCAATTGCTTGAAAGTTCTACGCAAGAACCTTCGACTATCAAATTCCCCTCCACTCAATTTGAGCCATCTTAATTATTCTGCGGAAATCATCAAATTCTGCCTAGACTATACCGTAGGATCTTAGAACAGGTAAAGTTATCATGTGCAACTCTAGCCAATCATTCTATGAAGTTTCGATTTTCCATCGAAAAACCTTGCATTTTTCCTCAGACTTAATATAGTAATGCCAAGAAAGAGTAAACAACACCCTTATGGGTACGAGAATATAGTGCTGGACCCGGTTGCTCAAAGGGCTTTCCACCGGATAAATCACCATCCAGCGAATACATGATGACAAAACACGCTACACTACTCCTATGGATAGGCTTCGTTTGGACAAAACATTAATTTTTCCTGACTCAATAGTACTACAAAAATAACCGATGCACTGAATAACTTCGCCTTTTTTGGAAAGAGAGGCTAGGTTTCGAATACAAAAATCAAGTTGTTTTCAACATCAGTTGTATATACTGTATATTAAAAAACAGTGGAAGTAAAAGTATATTTAGTCAAGGTGTAGGCAGTTGAGAAAGAAGTGTCCAGTGTTGCACGCTGTGCTAGGAATTGCCACTCTCGTATCGATCGCATCTCCTAGTAAAAAAGTTCTCAGGATGTAGTTCAACAACCTCTCGACACCAATCGGATCCTTATTATTACGAAGCAGTTGAGACGGATCCGTTCCTCTTCCTATATTTCTTTCCCGTCACAAAACTGTTCCATTCAGTTGGATTACTTTAATAGTTATATTTCTTTGCAGAGATAGTTGAACTCATCGCATCTCAAAGTACTCTAACCAAGCAGCTTGCCATGGCAAGTGACAAGCTAGATAGAGACAATGAGTAAGTAAAGATAGCAGATTCCTTTTCCTCACAACTTTACTGAGAAAATTTAACTATACTTTATCAAACTTGGGAGACATCTTTTTAGATCCTAGGTAAGTTTAAAAAGAAGGTGAGAAGCACGACCGAACCAAACCAAGTCTAATTGTTTCTACAAACCTCTCATGTCATTTCTGGCTTTTCGTGACGGGAGATGAGGTATCGGAAGTTCTGTACTTATTTTCATAACATATACAGCCATGGTAACGACAGAAAACTAACGGGAAACAAGTAGCTTAGTAAAAAGGCTGTTTCACCTCTCTAAGGTCAAAAGCATTGTTCTAATTGTTTGAAAAAAAAATTGTAGTTGAGCTAGGACGTATCTCTTTTATAGAGTTATTATTAAAAAATATCAGGACCATTGAATTGCATGCCTATTTCTGAATCTGCTTAGAACATACAAGCAGTACCGGACAAAAATGGCGACCTATGCTAAACAAGTGGAGCAGTATGAGTTGAATTGCCTATTGTACCAGAACAAAGCTGAACAGAAAGCCAGGAATGCCAAGGTTGCAGAAGAATGTATGGTGTCTCTTATGTTAAAACTCAATCAGATGATTTTCTTTACTGATGTTGCGATGAAGAGCGGTTTTCAATTGAGTGTCGAAAAACCCAAACCAAACCACTGAATCACTTACCAATTAGACTAACTTACCAATTTAATTCTGGATTCATCTTGGCGAATTTTCCTGTTTTTTTTCTCCTTTTTAATGTTCTTTATGTATAAGGTAATTGTAAGTAGTAATGTTATTTTAAATAGTCATGCGTTTTTATCATGAGCCCCTGGCTCGGGAGATTGGAAAACCACTCTCTACGTTTACGACTCTGAATAAAGTGTCTTTACCTTACCTTACCTTTCCTTACCTTACCTTATCCTACCTTACCTTACCTTACCTCACCTCACCTCACCTCACCTTACCTTACCTTACCTTACCTTACCTTACCTTACCTCACCTCACCTCACCTCGCCTCACCTTACCTTACCTTACCTTACCTCACCTTACCTTACCTTACCTTAGACTACGCAGCCAATCTCAAACCACCAAAACCAAAGTAATTGTCTGATTACTTTCGACACTCAATTGAAAACCGCTCTATAAGTTACTGATTTTACTTCCCAAACTCTTTTAGAAAGGCTATTTAGTGAAAAAGTTCTCAATAGTTGCTACTTTGAGTTTCCCGGTCTTATTAACACCAAAATCATTCCATCAAAATGTTGAGGTGTCTCACTAGTTTTGTGATTGTCTTATCCCCCAGTATTTGTTCGCATATACATGAGGAATTATTCAGTACAAAATGGCAAGAAATTAAGACAAAAAGAATCTAAGGTTCTTACTTGCCAGACAAACTGTTCAAATAACTGACAAGAAATTGGAGGAACTTCATCAAAGAGAAACTAAACCTTAATAAGTAGTTTCTTAGAAATCGATTTTGAAATAAAAACTAGCGTCGTGACTTTTTAGCGCTAGTTTTTATTTCAAAATAGAAACTAAACCACTAGGAAAGAAATCATCTGGCGACCAAATGATCACGCAGTGATCAGAGCAAATAGTGTAATATTTTGGTGTTGTTTTTTTATATCGAGAAGTATAAAAAGTCGCACAATGTCTTTGTAGTGCAAGGATCTGCTGCTAGTATGATGCATCTTTACTTAAAGAGCATCATATGTCTCATTTTCAAGATTTCATATATTCTATTCTAACTCATCTATGTACTTTTTTCTTTTTATGTGAACTGATACAGTGGAACGTCTACGTAACTTTGAGGATGAGTTCAGACTCGAAAGCCTACGTGCTGAGGTAGTTCAAGAGAAAAGCCACAAGAAGCAGTTGGAAGAATCTTTGGCTCTAAAACAATCCGAGGTGAGCCTTGAACTGTTCCCGTATATTCTTCTCTAGTTTTTGTTGGACCATTTCTTTCTTTGTTCGGTAGCTGAGAGAGGTTCTTTGAAGCCTATTACAATACAACTTGGCGTTTAGCGAATCATTGCACTTTTCAGTTTTGTTTTAACCATTTCATTTGTTCTTTTCTTACTGTTCCTCAATTGGTTTAGTACGAGCTAATCACTTTTTGTAACAAAAAACCTCGAGTAACTTAACCTCTCAGTCCTGAGAGTTCGCGGAAGTAGTTTGAGTTTATGAATCACAGTCACGCACATAACGACACATTCTCCAACACTTTTACTTTAGCAGATACAAAAGGAACACGAGCGACATAGACAACTGAACCGAGAGATTGAAATAACGCAAGTAAGTTTACACACATGACTGACGTCAATGATGTAACCGTAATATCCATTCGTGTTAGTTTTATGCAACGATAGAGAAAGGCCTCCCCAGCGTCATCCGCTGTAAGCGAGGTTGTTTTTCCCTCGCAAACCCCTAATGAACGAGTCTTCAAACGCCCTTTGCGTTATCTTTCACGATGGCTCGTTCGGGACTACAGTAGTTATGCATTCGATTTGCTAAACTCCAAGAGCAATTTTTTTTAGGGGAAAGATAGAGAAACATAAATCGGGGATCAGAATGGAGGTCAGAAAACCACATTCACGTAATGCGCGATCATATAAATCTCACATTATTTTGAAGTTGTATGTTGAAAGAGTTCTCTGGATCTTGGATGCCGATACGTTTTGTATTTGGGTTGCTTGGGGTTTCACTAATGCTCTTAAATTCAGGACGCACTACGGACTACATGAGCACGTCAAATAGGCACTCAAAATGCATCACGTACTCGGTACGTCACACAGGCAGTGAAGGCGTTAACTATATGCCTCCAGTAATTTTCAATAATCTTTTTGTCCACCTAGAAGCGTGACCAGAATCGTGACAAGGTCCAGACGACCCGCAAGCTGAAGCGTCAGCTACAACAAGCATTATCACGTAATCAGCTCTGGAGCGAGGAAGCTCATTCTAACCTCGCAGAAGTTGAGAGTAAAATGGGCGTCGAAGGACAAGACGAAGACGATGAAGTTTGTCAACTTGCACTGAACATTGCAGAACTCGACAGTAAAATGGACGAGTAACGAAATATATTTTAGTCCAGGTTTAATGGAGTAAATGATATTGTGTTGGGTTGTGTTATATTGTGACAAGTCCCTAGGGCACGTCATTTTTTTTTTTCGAAGTTTAAACAAGGAGGAAAAATAAATATATACACTGCATATACTGGTGTCCAAGGAGGGTTCAGTTTTTTGTTCGATGAAGCGCAAGGGTGCGTCATAGCGCTATTAAGTGATTCACTTCACAAACGTGATAACTAAATAATTACACTGTCAGTGTACAAATATCACTCGCTATTTATACTCTACTACGTTAATTTAGACGATAAAAGCGTCTTTTGTTAAGCGAAAGTGAATCAAACGATTAAAATCAGCTCAACCTACACCCCATGATCTCTGGCTGCAGTCGGCTCCAGATATTATGTAACAAGTTAAGATTAACTGTCGATTTTGATTCGTCCAAGATTTATTTCTGGAAGCTGAACAGTTGCAAACAATCATCAAGAAATTTAATTGTAAAATTCATGTGTCACGTCCGAATGAACATAGAAGGGCAATTGCTCACCCATGTCGAAACACCGCCGCTTGCGTAACTGACCACGCGAGTCCACTTCATTGTGTGACCTTGGGATCAAATCCGACAAATTTAGCTCTTAGGAAGATCCAGTTTTCAGTCTACGGCTTGGTGTCAAGTACTGAATCTTTCCGCATTCCTTAGCATTTATAGCCTTGACGGTCTTTTCTCTGAGAGCCGTTTGGTTCAGGATATCGCCCCACCCTGATTCAAGTACTACTTGATTTTCATGAATGAAATGAAACGAACTGTTCTCTTTTAAAAGTTTCACAATGCTCAATAGTCAGCAATAGATAATTTCGTACTTTCGTGAGTTGTGCGTGCCCTTATTGTAACAGCAGACTGATAGATGTCAGTCTGAAAACTAATTACCTGTGGTTGATGATCCGTCACAAAAGAGTCGATCTTGACACCCACAAAGGTAAAACAAACGTCTATTCTTTTAGCTCACGAAAGTCAAGGTTGAAACTGATATTTATTGCCCAGTGGTCGGAAACCTGATTGTAATAGTATTGAGCATGAGTAAGAGTTTTTTTCAAAGACTGACCTTGGCTGTACAAACATAAAGACTAGCGTTCAATTCATTCCATTTTCACTGTCAAGGTTAAAACCGATATTTTTAGCCTCATAGGAAGTTCGCAACACTTAAAGTACATATACGAAAATTTAGCTATCATGCCATTCCTTGTTTTCCATCTACCTATACTAATTTACTACGCCTTATAAAGAACTAAAATGAAAACATTGGGTTTTATCAGCAGGAAAAACCTCCCTGAAATAAGCACACTGTCGAAAGTAAATGAAGTACATCCATTCTTCTAATTTAGGGTGGATTCTCTATTTTCTAATCAGCCAGGGGGAACGTAGGCTGTTCCGAAAAATCAGGAGGTTCGACCGGAATCGGGGGCAAATTTCTCCTAACTTTTTTTGCTAAGGAGCAAAAAATTTGCTTCCAATAAATGAATAATCGAGTGGTTTGAAGAAATCAGCATTCTATTGTATTTCCTGATTACAGCCTGTTATCAAATAGCTGCCTTTTTTTTTATCTGGGTGTCCTTGAACAAGAAATAAAAGACTGACTGTTCTTCAAGGTTGAAAGCTGCAGAATGCTTTGACGATAATCGTTAACCCTGCCGTCGGCGATCGGTCGCTGAAAGCCAAGGTGACACTACTTGTTTTTTAGGTCACGCAATTAAGTAACTAATTATTACTCATTATAAAAGTGGGTAGGATACACTATATTGGCTCCCCTAAGTTGTTGTTTATTCTTCATCCATGGCCATGTGTTCATTCTATTCGATGTAATTAAAAGACTCCAAGATTTGCACTAGGGTAAGCCCTCTTTTCCGTTAAGTGAACACTAATTCCCATATTGTTTACCTACAATCGGATACAGTGAAATAGTGTAGCTTAACGGGACAGTCCATGGAAGAGGGTGGGGGTTCAAAAGTTACTCGCTATCACGAAAGCATCGACGATTTTAGCAATCTATATGAGAAGTACCAGTTAAATAAATGATAAATAAATAATTCTCATTAACCCTCTGTCGAGTAACTTAAGTTAGAGGTAGATGATTCCGTGATGCAGGCCCTAACTGAGACACGCTCTATCTGTTTGTTAGATAAACAGAGCCTTTCAAGTGTGACTAGCGACCTTGACATTGGGACACCATTTCAAGTAAACAACCAAGGTTACAGAGAAGCTATATAAATACTACCCGGGGTACATCACTGGAACAAAATTTGTTAGTAAACCTCGACTAAGCGTTCTTGTCTATCTAGGGACAGTCGACATGGAGGACATAGACAGTTCAGTCTTCCAAGAAAGCTCGTTTTATTTCGCTTGTCTTTGCTTGGCCGTTACCCTGTTGCTGCTCTTTTTGGGATTGGCCAAAATTTGGAGAGACGACCGTCCGCCCGGACCATTCGGTTTACCGATTGTCGGGAGCCTGCTTCATCTTGGCGACTCGCCGCACCTCGCTTTATCAAAGATGGCCAAAGATTACGGGAGTGTCTTTTCCATTCGCCTTGGTTGCAGAAACGTGATCGTCTTGAACAGACAATGTGTCATTAAAGAGGCTCTCTCCAAAAAGGCTGGCCATTTCTCGTCCAGACCACCCTTTCATTCCTTTCAAATAAACAGCCGCGAAGGTAGGAGCATAGCATTCGGTGATGTTGGTCCATTGCACCATCGAAACAAGAAACTTGCAACCCGTGCTTTGCATTCTGTTTTTAGTGATGTAAACCGCTTTAACACCTTGGTGCACCAAGAAACAGAGCAGTTGTGCAACCTATTGACAGAGAGCACATCCGAAGCGCACGACTTGACTCCATACCTAAGAAATATGGTCATTAACTTTGGATTTAGACTAGTATTTGGAGACGATTTAAAAGAAGACTACAGCGTCCATTTCCAGAGCCTCATGCAGAAAGCAACTGAATTTTCTGAGAACAATGGTGCTGTAAACGTGCTAGACTTCTTCCCGTGGCTTCATTTTGCGTTTAAAAAGCAGTGCAAAGCTACAAAAGCCGCAGTGGAAGAGCTGTTTGACTTTGTACGAGGTGCTTATAGGCAGCAGCGACATGCAAACATTAAAGAGGCTGGTGTTAATGTGGCGGCATCCTTGGATCAAATCATCAGAGAGGACATGTTGAGAGCTGGAAAACACGATATGGCGAGCAAGGAAACCAAACAGCCAGCCGCTGAGATGCCATTAGACGAAGAAGCAGTGGTTACAATGTTAGCCGACACTTTTGGCGCTGGGATTGAAACGGTGTCTACCACGTTATGCTGGGCCTTGCTTTTTATCCTTTCAGCACCTGGGCTGCAAGACGACTTGCAAGCGGAACTGAAGCGCGAGATAGGAACAGATCGCCTTCCCACTATACAAGACCGAGCAAAACTCCCTCTGCTACAAGCCACAGTACTGGAGGTCCTGCGAAGATCTACTGTTCTCCCCTTGGCACTCCCACACTACACAACAGAAGACTCGACAGTCGCTGGTTACCGTGTACCGAAAGGAACTACCGTTTTGGCAAATCTCTGGGCTGTAAATCACGATCCGGATCAGTTCCATCAGCCAGAGATTTTCGACCCCTACCGTTTCCTCGACGCGGAGGGACAGTTTCTGTTAAACATGCAGGCTTTTGTTCTTCCTTTTTCTACAGGTGGAAGACGCTGCCTCGGTGCTACCCTTGCTAAAGCCGAGTTGTTCATGTTCCTCGGTTGCCTCCTACAGCGTCTACACTTCCAGCTCCCAGCAAGTAGCGAACCTCTCAACCTTGATGGAACGTATGGTTTGATTCTGAAGCCTCATCCCTTCAAGGTGGTAGTTGAAGCAAGAAGGTTTGCACAATAACTGTCGAACCGTTAGAAGCTGTCCACCGACGAGTAGTGTTTCTTCACAGCCGCTTGACCCAACTCATGCATGTGTAGACAAATAGCTCTAGATCATGACTTTTACATAGTTTTCAGTAGTTAGTTTTTATGGTAATATGTTTGGTGATATGTCATTTGCCCCACTGATAGAAATTACTACTATTGAATGATCGTTACTGAAAATCGTGACGGAAAAAGATGGGAATAATTGCTGTTCTCACAAACTAAACATGTGCACCTAATTAACCAAAGTTCAGGTTAAAAGCCCGAATCCTTCATTTTATAGACATAAGATTACATGGCTGGATAGGCAATGACTTACCTGCGATGTGGAAAATCCACGTCATTCAAAACTTGGAGTAAACTTTGAATTTGTACCACACACCACACAAACAAAACCGGCTCTTGTTTCACTAAAGAGATTTTAAACGTGTTCACGATTCGGTGGAGCGTGGTAGTAAGTTAGTTTGATAACTTCACAAGCACACAAGGTTATCGAGTATCTTTCTGTGCGCTTTTATGGATCTTGAATTTCACTGTATTTCAGTGCCAACAACAATTGGTAGCTATAGCTTACGCTTGCTACCGAGCTCAGTACAAAACCAATAAAACATTTACTAATTTCGTTCATCTTTCAACATCTTAGTCAGGATAACTCCACTTTAATATAATTAATATCATGTCGAAGTTTTGGTCGAAAGGAAATCCCTGCAGGCTATGCAAAGGATGTTCTAGAAGTTCATATTTATAAGGAACCATGCAGCTTTATCCGATGGCTCAGTAATATTGTGTTCTTATGTCTTAAACAACAAATTTAGAGTTGATACGCTTTCAACGTACTTTATGAAATTTACACCCAATTGATTTAATTTCACGTCCTAGTTTTCTTTTTGTTACAACATAGGAGCAATATCAAAATTTTCAATTATTTTGAAGTAATATTTATCCGCACAGTTTGTCTCCTTGATTGTCATACAAATATAAGTGATGTTTAATATTATTTTATGCTAAGAATTACTTTGTAATCTTTCAGTTTTTCTCATATTTTAGAATGAAGTGTCACTACTGATATCAATGACGCCGTTGCTGATCATGTGAATCAATAAGCAACTATGAAAGGTTGAAATAAAGTTTCCCTTTTAAGATACATGTTAAGACTTGGTTTTATGGTAATCCACTCAGTCTTTGGAGCATCCAATGAGCTCTCTCGAAGACTGAGAAGGAGAAATAATTCTCATGGTTGATTTAAACCCCCTGAGGTTGGAAGTCTTGAAAATATCTGTCTGCGTGATGCTCTCAAACGAGCTGAGATGGGGGGTTGCGGGCGTTGAAAATTTGTTTGTTCTCCGGACCTACTACACAACTTCTAGATTTGGGGGAGAGGTGTCATTCCCCTCTTCTCGGTCCACGACTAATTTTTCACTTACGTTATGGTATCTCTTGCCGAGTTATTTGACTTTGCAGTCTAGAGTAATGGAGAAAAATAATAAAAAAAAATTGAATCTAGGAGTAGTCATAGGAGCAATTAGAAAGCATGTTTTTGCCTGTCGATTTTCTGCATTCCTGGCCGACCCGTCACGTATTCAGCAATTTGTTTACTCAGGTGACCCAGACCATTTATCGAGCCATAGCAGGTGTAACTTTTAGAAACTTGTAAGCTTATGAAACGTTTGTACGGGCTGGTTTCAACCACAAACACTGCTTGTCCACTGCCTAGCTACTGCTTGGCCACCGCTTGGGTAGCCTGTGCACTCTTTCAGCGACAACAAGATCATGTGACCTAATGGCGCGAAATTTCCTATTCACTCTTTTCTCAACTCCCGTTGCATTAATGATCAAAAGTTGTAACAGATTTCTCAATTGTCTTCATTTATCAACCGAATTTTCGTTATCCGTCTCTATACTACAAGCGAAAGTTTGTATTCCAGTGAAAATTATGATAGATGAAGCTCCTCGAGACATCTGCCGACAAATTGTATTCCTCATCGACTCTAATCCTTCGTTTTGGGGATCGAACTGTAGCTGCGAAAACACTTGCAACGCCATTCGATTGTGTGTGCTCAAAATTCTCACGTACTTCAGCAACATAAATGGCAGAGGAAAGCGATCGAATCTACGTTGGGGATTCAAGTTCTTCAACTCTAGGACATTATCACATCAGTTTGAACGACACGAGTTCAAAGATTTCTCAGTAGAAGTGTTTGAAGAGTTTGAAACTGAAGTATCGAAGAAGTTGAACGAATCCTTCGCACAAGTGAGCAATACACTTGAACAAAATGAGCCGGACGGAGAGAAAGATTCTTCATTTGTTAAACCACCAGCTGAGGTTAAATGCATTTCTTGTGCTTTAACTAATGTAGTTCACGATTTTCAATGGGAAAGACCAGACATCAGTTCGCCCGTGAGAAGTACTCGCAGAAACAACAACTTGCTTCATGGCAACAGATCATCAAATACTCGTAATGTTACGTTTTTATTGAGTGGTTGTCCTTGCAATGATGAATCGATCGCTAACTTTACTGGTGAAACTTCATCATCTCTAAGAACGTTTGATAGTGTGAAGAACATTCTAATGCCTTCAATGTTGTTCAAGGAATTTAGAGAAAGACAGATTTGTTTACATTGGGTAAACATCGGAAATGCCCAGCAGGAGGTAATTAATTAGCTAACTCTATGTAATGCAAGTTTGTTTGTTTTATAAAGTTATTATGCATGTGGCTTAGGTACACATTTTTTGTTGTTATACCCCCAACTGAAATACATTTTCTGATTGGAGGATTGGAGGAGAAAGTGTCACATTTCATGGGTCAAAATTCACTAACTCCCTATTGCGAACGAAACTCAGTAACTCCCTAAGGTGAAAAAACTTGATAACTCCCCTCAGTTTCGCTTCTCTTTGGCGAACAATGAATGTCCCTTGATGCTTCTCCCCTCTAAGGAGAAGCATCATGTGATGCAGGGCTATCATTAAGTTTTGATTCACTCATAGCATTGATCCTCATACCCATAAAAAATTTGTTACTGTATGGGTGAATAATATCAAAAACAGGTAATTTCACCGATAACATCAAGGGCTTATCAAGCATACTCAGCCGTGATGGGTGTTACGAGTTACGGCCGTTAATGAGAGCTCTGATCAGTGATGACCCAAATTATGGCTGTATAGGAGATCAGGCAGCTTCATGCAGTTTTCCACTGTACTCTGTTATACAATATCTTCCAATTTATTGTTTAGTTTTTAATTTAGTGTCTTTTCCCCAGGCGAGGAATAGGGCCAGAAACGAGTTGCCTTCACTATATACCAAAAAAGCTGTTCATCAAACGTAATTTGTACTGCTTTTATTTCCTATTTTAGAATACTGGCTTGAAATCATTATTGGATGCTTTAGTGGAGCAGCTTGGTGGACGCCTGATACCTCTTTCTGCAGTGATTTATGCTGGGAACATTTTCTCTTTGGGTTCTGACCTGATGAATACATCTGGAAGAAGTGTCTCAGCTGGCAAAGAAGTCATATCCTATGTTAGCCATGGACCATTGCTACCTTGTAAAACTGTCATGGATTTTTATCTCCGTGGAAAGCCAACAAAGTTATCAGAACTAGTTAATGCTACACAGAATCAAGCAAAGTTGGGTTGTCCTGAAACCACAGGATTTCTATGTTCTTCAGGTAATAATTCATTGTAAAGAGCAGTGATTTCAACGGCTTATATGCCAAAGAAGATCAATGTAATATATGCTGTAACTGTTGTTTCCCTTGTGGTTGAATTTTTGCTTGGATTGAAAAATTTTAGTGTGATTCCAAGTGATTGCCTCACTGTTTTAGACCAATCTATGTTATCTTTATGCCCTTGACACTGCCCATTTTAATTTCTTACCACTCTTGGACACACATCAGGTACTGATGAGAAAGTCCATTGTGCTGTAAAACTTCGCTCCATGTTCCAGCCAGTACCAGAGCAGCAAGGCCCAAGAGACCACCATCATAGTGCTTCTGATAGAACAAATGATGCTAATGGTCAGCAAGCTTCAACACCTGAGGTGTCAACCTCAGAAAAAGACAAAAGCCCTCCTAATCTTCTGTGGATCAGAGGAGTGATAAATCAAGCCTGCATCTGCCCAACATGGTTGCACCCCACAAAAGGATATTCATGTATTGGCATGGACGACAGACATGCAGATGATTCACCAAACTCTGCTTTGTGCTCACAAAGATTTATCTCTGGCTGGTTCCAGGGACTCTTACTTTCCTTGGCAAATGATAGCAAACTCCTGGTATGTACAATTGGTTGTGTCTGTTATTTACTGGGATTGTTTTTCTCTTACAAAATGAGGATATACAATCTAGCTTGTAAGTGTAATTGTCCGGGTGAGAGAATAGTTCTGCAAAGAACTGTTATACATGACAGTAGATGGTGTTGTAGGTCTGCCTCTGACTTTTCACGACCTACATGTGAACAAAACTGACAGATGAACCTCAAAAAACAGCTCAGTTTGACTATCAATAGGTGGAATCATTGACAGAAACTTGTTATCTGCCCAATTACTGTTGACAAATTTTTCACAAGTTTTACAGTCACTATTGCGTACTTGATGTTAAAGAGTTTACACAGAAGATGTTCCTTATAAACAACAACAAAAAATTACATCAATTTGGGTATTTTGTATGTATACAATAATACTTCTGTGACCATAGTGTCTTGGCAAGAGTGCCTCGAGGCTTAGAATATCCAAATAGGCCATATGCATATGCTCGGTAATGGACTGGAACTAGCTTGCAATGGAGGCCTCATGGGGGAGAATATCATTAAAAAGAGATTAATGCCATTTGCATTAATTTTGAAAAGAATCCCTGCATTAGCCTCAGTTGCAAATTAGTTCTTGTCACTTACTGAGAATACATGTACGTATATGGCCTATTACATTGTAGGAGCTAAAAATAACACGTGGGATCTTTGTTGGTACATGTACATTTACATCTGATTAAGTCTCGCACAAGGCATTACATGTTGGTGATATTGATGTTGCATGGTTTGTAGCATTGTCTTGATTTTTCCTTGGTAGGTTCTTGACTTTATCGACTGTGATAGTGGACTGCCAGTTAGTGGAGTACTTCAGCCCATGACCTCTGTCTGTGGTGTTATAAGTGTCATTGCATTGGATTTTCTTGTGGAGTTTGATAAGTTACTGCTTTGGAATGGCAAGACTGCAGTTCTGGATACGAAACGTGTGAAAAACGCAGAAACCTCCCACCTTTTGGTTAATGAGCACAGATCCAAAACTGTTTATAAACCAGCCAAACCACTTGGATACAATGAAGTCTTTGTTAGGCTTACAAGATCGCAAAATAATGTGGAAGGTATCTGTAAACCAAAATCAGAGTATACAGTGTATTAAGTCAGTTGAAACACAATCACACAACCACCATCACTGAGGTTTTATTTCAGGCAAAATTACCGGTGAGTTGCCATGAGACAAGGTGGCTGTAAGACAGGCTCTACTGTTATCATTTAGCATTATCTGAATTCGACTAATCACACTGACAACACAAGCCATTTTGAGCAGAGTTGAAGAATTTATTAGCAGTAATAGAGGTAACATAGCAACAAACCGTAAAATTTTGTCACACTTTTGAGAAATAAAAAGAACATGTTATCTTACATGTACTAGAATACATGGAAGTTAAAGTGCTTGGCTAAGAAAAGAATGATCAAACTACAGTCTGATTCATATCTCCTAGTATACATACTCAGTTACAAAGCATGTGCAATGATAACTAAATGCAAGTGTCGTATGTGTTACACTTATGAGTTGCAATTCTTAAATTACTTTGCAATAAATCTGACAGGTTGTTAGCTGAAAACTCTGATTTTTGTGATATTTTTGTTGGTCTGGCAGCAACTGATTCAAGAACATTTGATGCTGGGTTTGTTGATCCATGGTGCTCTTTTCCTGATGTTGATGATAACAATAGGTTACTTTGGAGTGAGCTGAGCAGGTACATGTACTTTAGGTTATACTATATGATAAACAATACATAGCAAAAAAGATTTTGTATGGTGCATATTAAAGTGAAGGGGTGGCTATTAGTTTTCCAAGCAATGTTATTTGGGAGTGTTGCTGCTTGATTCATTTCAGAATATGCAGGTAATGAAAAAACTACCCAAAGCCACTGATTCATCAATGATTTAGCCTGAGGGTTTTAAAAATATTTATTAATTGGATTTCATTTTTGACAGAAAAAAAAAAGATTTGTTAAGGCTATATAAATCATGTTTAAGATGAGAGAGCAGATGTATGGCTCACCTGCTAAATACAGAGTATCTTCAGCATTTTAAAACCAGATCCTTCAAGTGTGTACTTGTATGTGACAACAAAGACACATTAAATTGATTCTGACACAATTGACAGAGTTGATGAGTCTGAAGAAGAGAAAGAAGCTGACAGTGAAGACAGTGAGTCTAACCTAATAAAAGAACTAAAGAAACTTTACAACAGCAAGGAAACTAAGTCAACATCAATAGCTTTTAATGGAAGGCCATCACCAAAACAGTCCAAGGTGAAGTTAAACACTCCAGCAAAAACGAAGGGGAAGAGGGCTGTGTTGAAGCAGAGGTAAGAGAAGAATAGTCAAAGAGTAGATCTGTCTCACAATTTTGAAAAGAAGTTATAAGTTTGGTTAGTTTTTCTATAACTTTGCATCCTGCCTGTTTCTATTGTTCCTGACTTCTAAAGCAATACATTTGTATTACCTGAATTAAGAGTTCAAGTGAATATATTAAAGATCATATATTCAAATTGTGGAGTGGGCTGAAGACATGAATGATCATTGCAGTTGTGTGCACAGTTGTTCTCTTTGAGAATAACTAAGGCATAAACAACATACATGTATTATTATGATCATGACCTTTTATAACATAAAATTTAAATGATGCATGAATGGATTATGGTTGACTGCCAGAAATACGTCTCATTTGCAGGCTAGGATTATGGTAGCCTCTTGTCAGCTTTTCATAAAAAGGGTTTCTTGAAAGTCTTACCTGTAGCAAGTTAATATGACTTGTGTTGCATGGTGTAAAATATTAAAATGTTTTTTTCTCTTGAAGTAGAGATTTGGAAAACAAAACAGAAACAAAAGATCAGAACAACAAACTGGATAAAAAGGAAAGTCAACCTGCAGTTAACAACAGAATAGAAAACAGCTGTATCAACAAGGACAAGCAGATGAAGACCAAAAGCATTGGAACACAAGACGTCCCTTGTGATATCAAAGGTGTGTTGGTTCATGTACAATTGTCAGACCTTGTATGCTTATACTTGCCTATTTTTAGAGTGTTTTGTTGATGTACAGTACATGTAATAGCAAACTTCTCTAGCACTAAGTTTACTGCTGTCGGTCTACTACAAATTCATGCGCATTAATTTTAACTCATTTGAACAGGATATCCAATATATTTTGCAAATATTGCATTCTCAACATTGCAAAAGCTGAAACACTTGTACCATAATTTCTGTTTCGTAAATTAAAGGTTCCTCCTACTTACTTTGTTATTGTCACTTTCTATATCTTCATTGCCTCAAACAATACAAAATATTCTGCCCCATAGATGAAGCAGAACTGGTGAAGGTTGTTCATGATTTATGTGACAAAGTTGTTTTGGAGGTAAGATCAAGCTAAAATGTAGTTGGAGCTTTGATGAATTGTTCTTGACTAACATCCCAGTTGTCAACATAACAAGTTAAGTCAAATTGATTGTAGTGGAATATTTGTTACATATCCCTATTCTTTTTTACTAGGAAGCAAATATACTCGACAACATCACCAACATAGTGACACTAGTTTCCTTCAGTTATGCAAAAGAAGAAGCTGATAGAGAGAAGGTGTGCATTTCTGTACTTTTGTCTGTTTAGTTTTAGATACATGTACATGTAGTTTTTACAAACTGTGAAATCTTTTAAAACTACATTAAGAAGCCGAGCCAGTTTGTGCATTATAAGTCTACTGATCTGATGCATATCCTGTTTCAGGACTGTCCTTCAAAGTTTCTAGGAGAGCATTTCCTTCTAACAGTATCAGCTCTTAAAGAAAAATATGAAGGATGCAGTGATGTCATCAGAACTGGACAACAAGTCAGAGAGTGAGTTTCTCGTGGTGTTTCAAAGTCACATACGGTGACATTGTCGCACATTGTACTGTGGTTGCCTTTCCCCAGCCCCTCGTTTTGTTTTACTGCATGTATAGTGCTATAGATTAGCAAAAGGAGGGTAGTCTGACGAAATAATCTTAAAAAAGTTGTGTTTAGGTTTTTGTCTTTCTTCTAATAGCTCTGGGTTTGTTACAGTATTGTACAGTGTTGTTGTTACATTTGAAAGGCCCAAATACATGTAGTTTGCTAAAACAACTTGATGAAAAAGTAATATGAGTTAATAAGCACGGTTTACCACATTGATTGCCTTTGATGCCTTGCTTTCAGGTACCAGCTTCAAATCCTGCTAAGAATGGAGATTGCAGCTCTTGCAAATGCCGATGAAAACAGTCCCCTGGTTGAGGAGGTAGTAGTTGAAACGTTTTTAAACTGATGTGTGGTCTAGTAACTGACACGGCTTTTACAGCATACATTTACATTGGCCGTCTTACCTCATAGTGGAGTTCTTTATTGATATTCCGAGAAATCTTGTTGGGAATCTAATTGCTATACCACCACTATCACAGACAGCTGGTTATTGAACTTCAGGTTGCGTTCCTTTGGGGTGATCTGGATCAGGGTCAGTGATCCAAAATCGCTCGGATCATGGTGCATCAAAGCAGCCAATGAATCCTTGACCAGAGTGGATTAATCGGTGCTTTTGATGTACCATGATCTGAGTTTGGATCACTGATCTTGATCACCACATAGGGACACGCCCTTAATCAAGGAGCACACGTACAGTGTACATGTGGTCTTTAGTGTAGTGTGAGATTGAATTCGAAGAGTCGATAGTAATACATTAAACGTTCTCCCATGTCTTGGGTTCCAAGCAAGGCAACGATACACAAAGATTCCATCGCGTTAGTATTTGACTGTTGCTTGTCACCATGGCACTTCGTGTTATTTCAAAAGTAACCAGGACTTGTTGTTTTTCAATGTTTGTGTGCTGTAGGTGACTGCACTCTTGCGAGCCATCTCGTTCATGAAAGACCCTAAGTTTCTGACTGTGTATCTACGCGAGGTACTTCTTCAAAGGTACGTAACTACATGCATTTGTTCATAACTATCTACACTTCATTTTCAGTTGAAGTATTTCTTCGCCTAGTGCGTAGTTAGGGACGGCTTTGGGCAATTTTCCCCACCAAAATTCCTGCACAGCAAAAACTGCTGAAACAAAAGCGTGCAAGGGGAGCCGTGGAAAAAGGGGAGCCGTGGGAAAAAAATCGAGCAAGTGCCTTTGTATTATCCAGGTCCTGTTTTAAGTTGAAAAACAATTTGCACAAGTTATTGCCCACCAAAAAAAATCTTGCACAACCTGAGCGTGAGAAAACAATTCATGCCCCAGAAAATTGCTCAACCCTTCCCTCAAAAAAAATAAAGGTCCACCCCTACATGTTCATGATTACTCAAGCCTGGGCTGTGATGTACCTAATGTGTCTTTATTCCAATTGATNCCCCCTCCCTCAAAAAAAAAATGGTGCGTCCCTTAACTACCGACCACCCATCCAGGTACAGTCACATCCTTGCCAAGTTCCTGTGCGGTGTTTATGAAGGTCTGATGATGCGCCCTCCCAGGGAACTGTTGACGCCCTCCAAATGGTCCAGCGATGATGAATCACCCATCAGACGCTCCGTCAACTCCAATTCCAGCGCTAAACAAGACTCTAATCAGCCAAGGTAACTTGCATGGGACGAGAATTGTATTGAGTATGTTCATGATGGACTTCGAGGGTGACAAATTTTCAGTGGAAAAATGGGAACGCGTCATACAGGTTGCCATCTAACAACATGGATTGGAGATACATTACTTGCAAAAAATTTCGGACGTTTGATTTTCGGACACTATTTGTCTCATTTCGGACAAATTTCGGACAACAGTTTCGGACACTTTGCTGAAACATACCTAAAGTAAATTTACGCCTACAAAAGACGAATTAGACTGTAACAACATCTGTAAACATGATAGGTCTACTGCAGCCTCAAGGTTTTACGAATACACCGACGAAAAAATAACATAATTGATAAAGGAAACTAACAGCTTTGGAGCTACTTCCAAGTTTTGTACTGTACTGTAAATATTTCGGACGCCTAAAAATTCGGACGGTTTTTCTTCGGACCCTCTTTTTTGTCTGAAATTAAAATCATTCGAAATTTTTTGCAAGTAATGTAGGTTAGCTTATACAGCGAGAGTCTCGTCTCGCGAGAGCGTGGTAACTTACTTTTGAGCGATACTGTATGATTGACTCTTTCTAACTTTTGAAATGCACTTTGTGTTATTTTAGGAGCAGTGGATGCCGTGTTCTCACCCGCCATTTGAGTGTCACAGATGCGGTTGGTAAAAGAAGAGAGATCGTTGTACCTGGGAAAGCAAAACCAAAAGATAAAGAGAAGAAAAAGAAAGAAAAACCACAAGGCTCTATCAGTTCACGAGGTTAGTCTTACGAGGACCTATTCCCCGCCCCCCCCCCCCTCCCCACTTTTCATGGGCTGCCGTGCATAGCGATATTCACAATATATCTAGTGACACTCTAAATTTGACACATGTGCATGGCCTGTAGGTGCAAGCAAGAAGGAAGAGAAGAAAGCCACAGGTCAGAAAACGCCAGTTAAACTAGTCAGACGAAATCTTTTCACGGAATCCGAGGAAGGTGATGAGAATAATTCAACTGCCAGAGTGCCAAGGAAAAGAAAGCTGTCAGATTCAAGAGGGCAACAGGATCAAGCCAAACGACGATTTCACCGGAGAAATACTGTGGGTATGTACATCTACGTTTGCCACTGCTAGTGACTGTTATGGTATTACCAACTTGGACATTTTGTTTGCATTTTCAAGCACTGTTAACACTACAGTAGTATCACCATTACTTAATGCTTTAGGCATCTAAATGACGCTGAGGATGTAAAACAATGTCGCGAAAAGTCAGTTCACAGATGGTGATCCGGTTCTCGTAGCTCTTCTGACGCATTTACTGACACATATTTCCTCTTCAGGGGCTAAACGCTTTGAATTTCAAAATGAATTTAGCCGAGACCTTAGTACAAGGGCGAGATGTTTGGACACGCATAACTGCACACTTGAGCTGCTCACGTCTCAGTGAAAAAGGCACGGCGTACCAAGAACCAGCATCTAGTTGTAGTGTATATTATTATTACAATTTACTCATGATTATTGTTTTGGTTTGTTTCAGGTTCCTTCTCAAAATCAGCTGTTCAGGAGACTCCTGCTCATAAACAGGTCTCCCATGCGTTGTGGAATAAACAAGATCGTGCCAGGTGAGATATTCCTTGTGAAAATTTACAGATTTAAAATGTGTTGTTTACGAATTACGGAACGCAAGAGTACTACCACATATGAGGTCAATATTTCATAACGGGCACCATCCCTAACCGGGCTTCTCCGTTCTCCATGTAAAGTCTTAATGCAATAGGCCATTTTACAGTTGTGTACTTAGTTACCTGGCCAGTAAATGCAAGCGAGGCTGTAGGCGACCTTGCTTTGACACAGATCCCTCTGTTTTTCTAATTTAAATACCAAGTAGTTAGCATAAGAACAACTTGATTATCACATCAAAAGCAGTGAGGTCTTTATCAAAACAAGATCACCTGCGGCCTCGCTGCCATTCAAAGGCCAGGGCCCAGTTGTTCGAAGGCTGGATAACGCTATCCACCGGATAATTCGCTCTCCAGTGGATAAGTGTTAACAAAACAAACCACGCTATCCGCTGGATAGTGTTATCCACCTTTTGAACAACGCAGGCCAGGTCACTCGCTGAAAGACAACTGTAAAATAGTTTATTTGTCAAAATGGCACGATTCCTGCCTCGGCCACTATGTTTGTTATAGAACTTCTTACTCTTATTTTACAGACAAATTTGAGTGCAATATTCATGTCAGTTAGTATTCATGTAGCTTATCACCGTCTCATGTACTTGTATTCCAGGAAACGTTCCAGAGCTTATACAGAAGTGCATGTTTTACAGGAGTCACCCCTAAAAGAGTTACAAGCAGGTAAATTAACTTGACTGTTGTGCTGTGGGGTCTGTCTGGCTTTCTCTCTCTAGTATCCAGGATGACTATGATCACAAGACACGATGCGAGAGGGTTGGACAAGCTTCTCGTTCTGTCTCGTGACGAACACAACATTTGTTCTAGCGTGTATTTAAAGCTCGTTGTGTAAACCAAATTTTGGGGCTCAGCCCGACACTCAGTTTGGAGTGGTCACAGGATTGTCATAAATGAACATTTCAATATTTTTAGTGATTCAACTAAGTAGGATACAATTCTTTGCAGGAGCGATGCTTCCTCGAAAAAGTCCTCGGAGGCCGCCATCATTGCTCTCCCAGCGGAGTCAGTCATTTTATGGGCGCTCAGCTAGTGTAGGACTATTGACCAGGACCAGTTCCTTCACGGGGTCATACTCTCGTGACTCCCCCAAGAAAGAGCCCACAGAGGAAATAGATTCTGGTTCTTCTGAAAAGACCCCTCAGAAGACGTCCTTTGCTGCGGCTGTTTCGCCGTTACGGTTCTCTCCTCGACAGAGGAAGAAGTTTTCGCTGCACAGTTTGTTGACCACCGCAAAAGAATGTGATCCAAAGGAAAAACATTTGACGAGTCTTCATAAACCTACGACACCAAAAGAAAAACGTCTGGGCACAAGATCTTCTCCGAGACTCCTCAAGAAGCGGTCGTTTTCTTGTATTGGGTTTTCGTCTGTTCCCTTCCCTGGCGCTCAGGAAAAGAAGTCAGATCCTCTTCGTGCGAAGCCAAGATCATTTGAGAGTACAAGCCGCAATTCGCTATTAAAGGAGGATGTTTGTTCCGACAATGCTGTACAAGGAAGCTTGATGAAAACGCCAAAGAAGCAGAAAACCGATGACTTTTCAGAGGTCGGAAAAATCACCCCAAAATCGACTTCAGCGAAGATGTCGTTTGCTACCGTCTCGCCTTTGCGGTCGTCTTCTCGGTCCTCTCCTCGGCAGAAGAAGTTTTCGCTGCAGAGTTTGGAAAAAGAAAAACGTTTGCCGATTCCTCATAAGCCTACGACACCCGAAGAAAACCTCATGGCCACTAGATCCTCTCCAAGACTCCTCAAAAAGCGCTCGTTTTCTGGTGTAGAATTTTCGTCTTTCCCTAGAGTCCAGGAAGAGAAGTCAGATCCTCGTCGTACAAAGCCCAGATCATTTGAGAGTACAAGCCGCAATTCGCCATTAAGGGAGGACACTTGTTCAGAGGATGTCGTGCAAGAAAGCTTGATGAAAACGCCAAAGAAGCAGAAAGCGGATAGCCTTTCAGAAGTTGGAAAAATCACTCCAAAATCGACTTCTGAGCAGTCAGAAAAGCGAACGCCATTAAAAGATCATCATTTGGATGAATGTGTTGTTCTTCTTACGCCAATTCGACGTCCCTTAAATTCTACCGTGCATGTTTCACCAAAGATTGTAACTGATGAATCTTCTGCGTGTTCAAAAGGTCACACTCCCCCTGGTGTTGCGGAATCTTCAAAACAAGGGGTGGATTCGGCAACAACGCCGGTAGGAACACCCGTTAAGAACGACGTCAGCTCAGCAGTCCGCAGCTCACCGAGATTAGCGGGACACCGAAGCAAGCGCGACATTTCCGAGTCTTCCAAAGGAGCATTCCACGAATCTCTATGTAAATTTACAGATTCTAAATCGAAGGATGAAAAGTTAGTGAATCCCAGCTCTGAAGACTCCATAAGGTTCACCGGGGAGACTGTGGAAAATACCAGAACCCCCGTTAAGGATCGTCCTTTTGACGACTGTGTGGTGCTTCTGTCCCCAATTAGGGAGCTTCTAACATCTCCAGTGCACGTGCTATCTCAAGAAAAAATCGTGTTGGTCACTCATCCGGGCTCTAAAAGTACCTGTCAACTTGACGAAAACCCGGATACCAACATGATGACCGGTGATGCCGGAAAATGCTCCTTATCAAAGGAGGATGCTACAAGCATTAAGCCACCTCGTTTGTCTCTCCGCATTGCCATGTCTTCCGCTCTTGATGCATCAAAAGAACGAAGCCTGGGGAAAATATCCCCAGCAGTAAACGGCGAGTCCACCGGTGTAACGTTTAAAGCAGACGGAACGTTCAGCTGTGCGAGTCTGGTCGAAAATGATGAATGCTGTGGCATTTCTGCCGCAACTGAAGAAGCGCAAAGAAGCGTCTCATATAGTCACTTCCAGGGAGCTGTGCTGTCTCCTCGCTCGACCCGCACATCTCCTAGAGAAGCTCAGTTATTATGGAATCAGCGTCCACAAAACTCAACTACTCCTCAGAAAAAAGGGAAAAAGAAACCAAATGGTGTGTCCAATTCACCGGCTGAACCTACACGTCTGAGTCCTCTCAACCAAATACTACGGCAGCAAAAACGAAAAAGATGTTTTTCAAGCTCTCCCGCGGATAAGCGTTCTAGAGAAGTGTGCCGGGGTTCACGTGACACTTTACGTGCACCTGACACTTTGTGTGCACCTCGAAGGACTCCAAGAAAGAAAAAGTCAGTGCGAGGCAAAGACGTGGACGGGAATAGTTCTTTGAATGTTTCTTGTCCCGTCGTCGTTGAGGACGACAATTCGATGTCGTCAGAAGATGTGGTCAATTGGCTTTGCGAAATGGAGAAAGAATATGACCGTTCTGTGGCTGAGAAAAGTGAAGTTTCGAAGTCGCCCGCAACAAAAAAGAGACGAATCGACAAATCTGTTGTGTTCGGTAGGAAACGCGCTGGGAATGAGGCCTCAAGAAAGCAGAAGAGCAAGAGTACGAATTCGTCCTTGAGCAGTGACACAAGCTACGAGGAAGACGATGAAGTGTTTCAGAGTCCCGCCGCGTTAGCCTCAGCGTGTCTCAGGCGGAGACATTTGAATAAAACACCCTTATCAGCGAGTAGCATTAAATTGTTACAAGAATCTCCAATACTTTGTGATAGTAAACTTTCGATGTCGCCCTCGACCCGTACACGAAGCTGCTCCGATGTATCTCCGAATCCCGAAGAGTACAGTCGGAGGGGAAGACTTGCGCGGCGAAAGTTCGTTCAGAGGAGAGCGAGCATCTCGGAGAACTTCGTTGATGACCAAGAGGAACCGATAGGGTTTCATTTGAGAAAGCGACTCAAACTCAATACTTAATTTTTACTTGCTTATCTTAAGATTTGGTTTTGGAATTGAATTTGCAAAGTTGTACATATCGTAGTCTTACTGCAATCCGAAGCCGAGATCTTTTATTTGTGACGTAATTTTCGTGTTGAACGACGAACCGGCTTTGACATAAATCAACTGTGCCCTCCAAGTCCCAAATCCTAGAACGTTTTTTGGTTTTATGTTTTTTTTGCACGCACTTGTCGTGTAAATGCTGCCTTGTTAGCTGTATACTAGCTCGTATTGTTTTTAAATAATAAATATATTTGTGCTACGGAGACGAAAAGTTTGTATCGTTGTATTTTGGTGAAAAGTGGGATCCAGATCATGTGTCGCGGAGAATGAAACTTTTCTTTTTCTCTTTCGACTTCGTGATTTGTCCATCGAGAATCAACAACTCGAATAAACTCAGATTAACAGATTGCGTATCGCGAGGAAAAGAGGCTAGCGGGATATTTTAAGATGTGCCAATTCGCAACTCCAAAATATCCTTTCACTTGGTTGACAACAATAGCAACAACGACTTTATTTGTAACCAGCATTTAACATTTTAGCTTAAGTGTATGATACGAAATGTTTCCCCCCGTTTTTGTTTCTTTGATATGTGTGAAAAAACCATTCTGAGTTTGCAACATAAAGAGAGAATGCCAACTTCGTTCCCAGGGCTATTCCCTTTGAAATCGGGAAAAGCCCTGGTAACGATGTCTGATTTCATTCTCGTCGCCATAGCCCTTTCTCGTTTCTCGTGCCAAGGCCCCGCCGGCTAAGAGAAGCGAAAAGGGCTATAGGGACGAGAATGATTTAGGTGTACTTCAACTGCTTGCCTATGTTCAGATACAGTCCGCCATTTTGACAATAGGAAAGTCAAGATGAAAAGGGAAAATACTTTCCTATCCTCTGCTGGAAAGAAGAATGACGCTGTTATTGACGAGACTGAAACTGAAGATGAACTTTTACCTTGGTTCACCCCACACCCCTCCCCCATCGTGAACAATCCGCGTATCAAAAAATGTACTCACAGTTAAACCACTTTTTGTCATATACCTGCCATTATTTACGTGGTGTGCAGTGATGGGCGAAAACTAGCCATGCGGGGTATGAAGTTTTCTTCTCAATATGAAAAAATCAGAATCATTCATTCACGTGATACTATCATGCAAAAACCAGGGAAACGAAATGCATGCAGGGTACGAAATCCACACAGTGCGAAAAAAGGCTCGATTTCCCCTAACAGCGGCTGGTAATCGAGCAAAAGACAAGAAACAAAAGCCATATATAAAAAGCCCTTTAAGAATTACAATGATGTTTTTCCTTACGGATGTACTGAAACTGATAGCCATCTCCACCCTGTTTGCTTCTTTTCATAGACTTAAGCCGGTAATTACCTTCACAATCTTTTGAACTTTATTGCTTCCATCACTTGTAATACAATCAACAAATGCCTTTTTTGCTAGTGGGCTCCTGCGTAAACTATAAAAGAAAGGAGAACAAAAATTCACGGCCAAGTTTTTATTTACCAAAGTTGGAGACAAACTGCGTGTCACTTCCTCCCTCTCCCCCTCCCCACTTGACATTATTACGAAATGGTTGTTGAGCCCGCGTTCCACAGAGGGAGATCGAGGGAAGAGGAAATATGGCGCTAAGGGATCGTAAAAGTTCCTCTGAATCGGAGGCCAATTTAATAGGTGAAAACGAGCCAGATGATCATTTCGAGGACGAACCAGATCTCTGCCTAGACGAAGAAGAAGAAATAGAGCTCGCCCTTAGTGCTCCATCAGACGATCAGTAAGTTTTGCTCCTGTGAACCTAGCGGAAACTATGCCGCCAAGCTTTCAGTGTTTATATGTTTCTAATTCATTTTTACAAGTTTCTACTTGAGAAATATATCGTAAAAAGCCGACAGAACGAAAATCAAGTAGATGAGAAAGAGTTTTGTATTATATTACGGCAGTTTGGGGGTCGAAATGTATTATTTATCGGCTGATTACCATTGGAAGCAGCCTTGCCAAGACTGCGGTGATATTAAAGATTGACAAGTGTAGAAATTAGTAGCAATGGTTCGTTTCCCGTCATGAAGAACGGTCATGTTATGTCTGCTTGCATTCTTGAATGAAAAATGCAGGAAAACATGTTACTAATTTTCTTGAATTCTATGTGTTGATAAATGACCCTAGTCAAGCCCTTATAGATTGATTGATTGATTGATTGCTTGGGGAAAAATTGGTTCTCTGCTGCACTAGGATCTAAAATTACGTTGTGGCTTGTCTGTCCTAGAACAGGAATTTTCCTCAAGGAAATTTAAATTCGACAGTGACTTGAGTGGATGACATATACTTTTTCCTAAATTCTAAACTTTGGTGGGGATAATAATGTTGTCGAGAGGTGGCCATTAGAGGGAGATAGGGGTGTGATAGGGGTGTGATATGACACCTTTTTTGGGGGGTTGCAACATTTTTATGTGTAAAAAATGCTTATTGTAGCATAGAAATACCTAACACAATCAAAATATGTCAATAAAACAGAAAACCAAATAGAAATAGAGACTAGTGACACACAGTATGGATCAAGTTTTTTGACCTTTTATTATTTATAATATGGGGTTTTGTACTCACCATTCTTCAGTTGGTGATTAACTGGTTTTTGTAGAAAGATAATTTTGGTAGTTTGGGATGCACTTTGGTGGCCATTGTGGAGAGGTTAAAATAAGAGTGAACACAAGGACTGTCCGCTGGGGATGTTGAGAGGTGGCTATTGCAGAGGGGTAGCTGTCAGTGTGGGTTGTACTGTAGGTAAATATATTTCTGGAAATAATCTTTTATTTCATTTGGTTTTCTAGATGGTACCATGGAAAGCTTGACAGAGCAGATGCTGAAAAGAGACTTATGGACAATGAAAAAGTGGGCTCATACCTTGTGCGTGAAAGTGACCGAAAGCCCGGCACATACTCTCTTTCTTATCTTGGTCGTAATGGAATCAGTCACTTCAGAGTGACAGCAGTGTGTGGAGATTACTATATCGGAGGACGGCAGTTTGATTCACTGAATGATCTGATAGGCTACTATACAACCTGGTCTTGTTTACTAAAGGAAGAACACCTTCTGCACCCAGTGCCTCCCCCAGAGCCAGTTGTTAGCAAGAAAAGGGTGTTGGCCAAGTATACCTATAACAAAGCCCCTGATACAGAAGAACTGAGGTGAGTTGTGTTTGATTGGTAGAACATGTTACTGTATAGAGTGGTTTTCAATTGAATGTTGTAAAACCAAAACCAAACCGATAACTTGCTAATTAGACTTCTCAGCCAATCTCAAACTGTAATAAAAGTAAAATCCAAAACTAAAACCAAATGTCATTGAATACAAAAATAATTGTCTAATTACTTTTGACACTAAATTGAAAAGTGCTCTAACTTGTAGTACGTACTTTATTACCATTATTCAGAAGAACAGAATTAAATACCTACTGTAATATTAATAATTTTTGTGGGTTTCATTAAAGTTTTCAGTTGGAGGGCACTCGGTTTTCACAGTCGGGCAAAACTTTTTGAACTGACCCTTTTTTTAATGAGAAAAACGTTCTTCTGGATGGTCAAATAAGGCAGGCAAAATCATCCTCATGGTCAGTCAATTTGCCTGGTGCTGGCCCTTAATGATTAATCCTTGATATTACAGTGTACTTATTTCAGTCTGACTAAAATTGCTTAGGGTCTTATCTTCATGGAACTGTCATAAATAAATTCATTAACTAACTTGTTCATAAACTTAAACTTATCAAATCATATCAAGCACAGTTCCTTAAACATTTTATAAACTCGAAACATGAGTTAGTCAGGCACTCATTTAAGCACCACATGTCATGTCACTAGTCTTCTATCAATTTATTTTGTTTTCAGTTTTTACCAGGGAGATGTTTTTGTAGTTGATGATGTAATTGACAGTGATTGGCTCTGGGTGACAGCTCAGAAAAACAAGGAGAAGGGACTTGTACCTGCAGCCCTTGTTGAAGACGCTGTGAGTATTATTTATTAAGCTCCCTAGCCTATAGTCCCACTCACTACCCCCTGGGGATTCTGGTTAAAAGTCAAGTCTCTAGTCTACATGTAAATTTTTGTTCATTGTCTGTATATATTTTGTTTAGTTCAAGCTGGGAGACTTGAGCAATTACTCAAGTTTAGCAATTTACTCTTTGGTGATTACCTTGCTCTTGGTGTGAGCATTTTTATAATCAGCAAGAGGGAAACTTCATATACATGGACATTTAACTATGGCCCTAAAAGTGTCCATATTTAGAGGTTAGAATATGTATACCTAAGATATAAATGGTGCATACATTTACACAGCTAAACAACTGTACAGCATTGACTTTCAAGAGAACTACTGCTCATGGATTTCTACTACTATTTAATACATGTATTGTAGTTGTTGCTGATTCTCAATGACTTCCTCAAAACTAAAATCCTGGAAGGCATGATTGAAAACTATTTCTAATCAGGCTCTTGCAGCGTATCAAAATTCATCACACTAAAAGTAAGCTATACACCCATGTATACTGTACATGTAGTTTTCAAATTATGGGTTAATGTAGCAGAAAATGTTTGAGCTAGGAATCAACTCATGTTGTAGGTAAAGTGGGATTTGAATATATCTTGTCCAGTTCCAGGCAATTTTGATCATTCTGTCTGTCTATTTTGTACATTCCAGTGTGAAAAATGTAATACTGTGTAACTGGGGAGAAGGTTTTATTTTGTAAATGGAATTTTCATCTTTTAACTGTCTCTTTCCCATCCTACAGAAATCAGATCTTGATCCTTGTGCAGGAAAACCGTAAGTCTTTTAAATTTTCTTCTTTTTTTCCTTGAATTTATTGATCCTTTCTACAGTTACAGTTGTAGTGCTGATCTAACTTCCTCATTTTATCATCTTGTCAATCAAAGGTGGTTCTTTGGAAATATTTCAAAACAAGAAGCACAAGAAATTCTTTCAAGAGGTATTTATAGCATTTGTGGCTTTTTGTCTAGTAATATTAGATTTAGCTAAGCCTAAAAGCGTAGTTCCTGATTGCAATAATTAACCATTAAGGAAAAAGAGGATTTGTTTTTCTTGGATCAGAAACTCAAAGAATGATTAATTGTGAGGATGTAATTGTTCAGCATGTGGTTTCACTATTTTTTCCAGTTAAATTTTAACAAACATATACCTAATACAGTAAGCATACCCGAGATTGTGAAAATTATATATATGCAATATATCAGGGACTTTCCAAGAGATGGTTGGGCAATGAATATGTCGCAAGAGAAGTAAAAAACATGCCAGGGGTTAATTCGTGTAGAAATTCTGCCTTTGTATGTGCTCCCTCCTCTTCCCCCAGAGTAACAACCTGGCTTGAGTCTGTGATCCATTTGAAAAACCAGTACCTGGTCATGGAGACCAACTGTTTGGCACAGAGAGGGGGTTTTATTGAAAGCAAAAAGCCCCCCTCCCATCAGACTTTTAGCCAGGATTTGAAAAGTGGACCTCCAAATATGCTAAAGGGTCTACTCACATGAACAATTTATAAGGCAACATATGAAATATAAAACAATTTTCTCTCATAAGTGGCCATCCACAGGACGCCTGGAAGCCCATCTGGCTAAAAGTCTGCCCCCATCCCCTTGAATACAACCAAGGAAAGTAGCCTTATATTAGTAGGAGTCATTAATTACATTTTTGTAATGACCACAGAAAGGAGGCATTTCATTTATACAAGAATTAATTTGCATTTGTACACTTTTAAAAAACTAATCTTAGACATTGTATGATGAGCCTTCATTCTGTAGCCACCCCCNCACATGTTTAATAACCGGTAAATAACTTTGGTAATTAATACTGCACTGAAACAACCTTTTCTTCGATACCAGAACACTTAGTTGATCTGTTATTATACACTAGAAATCTCCAGTTGTTTTGTTACTTCAGAATAAGGATGTCTGTTAGGTGCTAAAGAAGACTTGACATAGATTAATGTTTATTGTTTTAATGGAACATAATGGCTGATTCCCTCCATGAGATGCGCCTTCAGGGAATCATGATAGTTGTATTCATGAAAACAAACATCCAGTCCAAGATGATGAATACAACTACCATGATTCCCTGCAAGCACGTCTCCCAGAGGGAATTGGCCATTGATATAATCTTAAAATAACAGGTTTACACATTACACATGTACATGTACTTAGGGATGGACCATTTTTTTTTGCAATTTCCCAAAAAAATTCCTGTGCAGCAAAAACTGTTGAAAAACAGTTGTGCATGAGGAGCCTTGGGGAAAAAAATGAGCATGTATTTTCTACTATACAGGTCTTATTTTTGATGTTGAAAAAAATTCTTGCACAAGGTAATGCCCACCCAAAAAGTTATGCACAATCTAAAGGTGAGAAAAATTTTTTTAATGTCCCAGAAGATTGCCCAACCCCCCTCCCCCCTAAAACAATAATGGTCTGTCCCTTAGTCTGTTCAAACGTATACCAGAGGAATTCTATAGTGTTTCACTGTTTGCTTTACATAAATCATATTGTAACAATGGATACCAATGATATTGAAATACATGCACCCTTACCAAAACAGTCATCAATTGGAAGTTCAAATGCATTGTGGGTAATTGTTCTTGGTAATGTTATTCAACAGATGGCATTGTGGGTAGTTTCCTTATAAGGCCAAGTGACAAGTCTCCAGGGGATTACTCACTCTCACTCAGGTGTGAAGATTAAATTGTAGTTTTTCTTTTCTGGTTCAATCTTTGATAAGCTCACCTCATTTTGTCTCATCGCTACTGGCATACTGTACCTGGCATCTGTTTAGTGAGATTATTTTAATTTTTTATATGGGTCTGCTTACAAGCTGCAGCCTTTTTGACTTTTCACTGTAGTTAACGTGAAACTACTCTAAACAAGGCGGCCTAAGTGCGTTCTTAACAAATTGACCAGTTGTGTTTGAATTGTGTCTGGGCAAGGATTCTGCGGTTCCTTTGGCGCACCGTGATCCGAGTGATCTTGGATTGATCTGTTTAGAAAAGAAACGCAAAATCCGTTTTCGGATTTAAGAATCCAATCTTGGATTTTCTGAAAGAAACGCACCCTAAGATCGTATCTTACTTGGTGAACTGTTTTTTTTTTGTTACCAAAACGGAATGATGCATCATCTGTTATAGAGTAGTAAGTGATCTTAAAGTCGGCCGAGAACCCAGGCCAAGGCAAAACTCATTTCTAGCCAACTACAGTGGAATGTCTACGGAATAACCTTGTAGAATGGGTTACTTAATTGCTCACAAATATACTGAAGGTTACGCAATGGCGTCCTGCGAAATTAATACTAGTGGAACAAAGTATTTAATGATATGAAAATAGCTCTGAAAGAGGGGACACATGAAACATTCCGTGATGTTACCAATGATACAATAAGTCAAATTGTTCTCACATTCTGATTGATTCTTATGATTGATTGGGTCATTTTCATTACACCCCGCTATTGCGGACTCTCGCTATTACGGGCACCAGATGACGGCGTCCGAGAGTTCTAGCTATTCTTAAATTCGAGTTTAAAATAATGTTATGTTTGTCTAGTGGAACCTCGATATAACGATGGGCCAAGGGACTGGCAAAATATGTTCACTTGAACGAGGTTTCGTTATATCGAGGTTCTTTTCCATATATTTTACTATTGCTGGGGCGAGGAATATCGTTCGTTAGACCGAGGACATTGTTACATAGAGGTTCGTTAAATCGAGGTGCCACTGTATGTATGTAGTGGACTCTGTAGTCTTTGTAGTTTCCATAATCATCAATTCGAATTCTCCAACCGGGAAACGGGCCTTATTTTTGGTTTTAATTGTTTTTAATTCATGCTTTTCAAAATTGGTAGCTCATACATACAAAGAAGAGCCTGAAAAAATGAAATCTAGTGTATAATTTACAATGATGTCAAAGAGTGTTAAAGCGCACAACTTCTTTAGTCGTGAAAGTATAAAAAACTTTCTCATGTTTACAACTTATTCTTAAAGTTAGATCGCGTGGGTTGGTATTTTTTCAATGTCATTTTTAGCTTTTCTTCAGGCGTAGGCCCACACAGGAAAATAGTTTGTTTTCCAAAAAAAAAAAAAAGCTAAATTGATTAAATTATCATTTTTATCAATGGCCCTTGATTTCTCCGCTATTTTTCGGAAAACGGTTTAAAACGATAAACAGAGTTCACCAAGTGATTAGCGTCTGAGAACCTGAAGTCATCCTTACCAAACGTTCAGAACACCACAATGGTTATGCAGTGTTCTGAGTAGAAAGAAAAGCCATCGAACTACAGAACCTCCGCACGTGAACCGTCAATGCACATGTCTATTTTCAATTAGACGCCGCAACTGCAGCTGCACAATGGCAGTTCTAAGTTATGAAACTCTGCTCATTACTGAATAAGACCTTTAAAAAATACTAGACGCCTTCCGGGTTTTCCGGCTAGATCTGTCTGTTGTTTCTTTAAAGAGGGACAAAGTGGGCGTTTTCCAGGATGTTTTTTTTTACAGTGAAGCCAGTCTATATGGTGTTTCCTGCCTTGCCAGTGTGTCCCAGCTGAAACTTAACTGAGACTGCGCCCTTGTGAATACGTTGCCGAAAGCGTGTGTGGGTTATTTGACACTTTTGACTTGACGAAGACAAAGCTCGCACCTAAATATTCCCAAATATCTCGTTCACTGCCTGCGTTGTTGCCAGAAAACTGAGAGAATCTTAGCGCTTAAACGAAGCCACTGTTCTTGTTCATGAGCATGTTGACACTGTGTTTTAGGGGGTATTAAAAGGCTTCATTGCAGATTGCTGTCTACGCCGCTGATTTCATAAACGTTGTATTACCTTTTCTTGAATTTATTAAGCAGTGAGGCTTTTCTATTTGAACTCGAAAAAAACTTGTATTACATTCGCAGAGCTCCTGAGGGTATCACGCGCTTTCTTATCAGAAAACAAGGAATGCAGTATTCTATGGGCGGCAGAATGTTTGACAGGTAAGATTGCATTAATGCTCTTTACTGATCAACTTTATTAGCTTTTGTGATTGTTTTTCCTGATACTATCTTACTTTTCGCAGCATATTTGTTTATGCCTTAAAAATATGCTCTTCCTAACTAAACTTGTCGTCTTAACACTGTCAAGCGTTGTCGGTGTGGAATTCCTTTCGAGGACCCGTTGTCAAATCTTGCAACACATGTGACGCGTGCAGGGCAGATGTCGCTTGAGGGCCAATGTTTGTCAAACCTCTTCCTTATTTTATATTACACATCCTTTAACTTTGCTGTGCACATTCACAACATTGTGAAGACAAGTTGAAAATCCTACCTAACAATCAGATCACGAGCTGGAGATTTCTATCACTTCGTCCCCTCGTCAACTATCACGTATAGAAATCGATAGCGACTGAATAATCTAATTGTTTTAGTATAAATCTGCTAGTCGTTCAGAACTTTTTCTAAATCCTCCCCACAGACACTTATTCGAATTTTGTGAAGCTGACGTCTTCAGATGTGTGCATGCATAATCTTGATTTCGTTTCAATAAAAATACAGTCGAACCTCCCGTAAGCGACCACCCAAAATGTCATGCCTATGTGGTCGCTCACGGGAGGTGGTCGCTTACCAGAGCTTAGAACTGCATATTGGGTCAAAATGTTGCCTCATTAGCATATGGTAATTTTAAGACATTTAGGTCGTCTCTTGTACGACTGATAGAGTACAGTGTATGTGCATTTTATCTTTGAATTTTCAATGTTTTATTCATGTGAAAAATCAATTTCGAGAAAAAAATCCGGTACTACCCAGGAATGCAATAATGTTACAACACCTTATTATCCAATTTTCGCATTATTATCTGTCAATTGGTCGCTTACGGGAGGTTAAAAACAAAAGAAAATTTCAAACTTTCAGCTCTAAAAGTGGTCGCGGTCGCTTACGAGAGGTAGTCGCTTACAAGAGGTTCCAAATATAGTGATTTGACTTGGAAACTTTTGGTATTTAGGAAAACTGGTCGCTGAGGAGAAGTGGTCGCTCACGAGAGGTGGTCGCAACTGGAGGTTGCACTGTAGCTTATGATTTTAAGATCCTAGTCAGTGGACTATTTTACTAAAATTCACTACCATTTTCTTGCAAGAATTGTTCTCCATTACTGATTCTAGCCTCCCTGCTGAGTGAAAACCTCGCGGGTCGTATAGTTACTACAAAGGTCATCTTTATCACGCAAGCAAGAGCAAGACCCTCATTTTTTATTGTATTTTTGTAGCAGAACTTAATTTTTTTGTTGTTGTTTTAGTGTGGATGCCGTTGTAGCAAGGTATAAACACGAACACATTGTCGAGGGCCTTTCTCTGAGAGAACCAGTATCGAGGGTGAGCCAGCTCTCTTTGATTCTTATAGTTCAATCTTTATGAAAAACCAAAATGTAAAATGTTCCAGGTTCTGTGTTTGTTTTGAACTTTGGCAGATTTGGTGCTTTGGTGCAAGAGAAAAAGCACTGGCATCTGTTTCCTTGAATCTTCAACAGACTTTCTAAACAACTGATAGAGATTCAATTTTAGCTGGCGGTCCAGACGATATTCAACAGATGACGAACCTTTGTTAACCGATATCGTGACGTCTCGGCTGCCATTTCCAAATTCAGGATTTCTTTTGCTCCTTATTGCTACCAGTCTTGCTGTAAATCATTTATACCACACGTACTGAAGGATTGATCGAAAGTTTGTTCGAATTCCTTTTCTTAAAGGAGCTCAGTCACGGTATTTCCAGTTATTTTGACCGCGTACAAAAGTTACCTTTAAATTGAAGGAAATTTGAAAATAATAGTTTACTAAGATAGAAACACACCAAAGAGATGATAATAAGCCATAAAGAACAAGGATGGTTAACGATGAAGAAGATTGACACGGATTACAAATGACGAACTTGAAAAATTTAGGCTTAACTTTTTAAGATGAGCAAACCGTGACGTAGCTCCTTTAAGCCTGGGGAACGAGGTTACACAACTGTCTGTTAAAGCAGGAGGAAACGTTTGTGGATTCATACGCGTGCTTCCAGTCGCAAACTGTATCCTCGGCTTTTGGACTTTATTTAAGTTGCGAAAACAGTCAGTTTCTGGTATCCTGTGTTTTGTAAGACGGAAAAAGAAAGTTCTGTTTTTTTCTCTATTGTGTTCCAGGCTCAGGATTGGGACCTTCCTCACAGGCCAATGACACCGAGCAGGAAACTGGACCAACAAAATGGCTCATCATTTATGTTCAACCGATCTAGAGCCCCAGGGCCTGCTATTCTAAATAGAAGTCAACCGGCATTCAAGAGAGGATATTTAGTAAAGAAAGGTGACTTAGGCGTTCTTGTCGATCGTTTAGTTAGGGCGGTTTTCAATTAAGTGTCGTAAACCCAGAACTGAAGTAATCACGCTAGCCAATCACAAAGGACACAGACAGTCCAGTGAACCAATCAAAACTCGAACTAATTACATGTAGCTGACGCAAAGCGCGGGAAAACGAGGGCGAGCGAGTCACGATTGGTTTTGGTTTTACTTCTATTGGATGAAAAAGTGGCGCGAGTTTTTTAGGCCTATCGTATGGCTTAGGCCTAGGGCAAACGTCGAATCTTAGTCGAATTTAATTCGTCGAACCTATTAATTTTGAAATAGGCGCATGAATGGTGCGACGTTTGTTGCAATTAAATTCGACTCAAATTAATTGGTTCGACTCTAGCATAGGTTCGACTTACCAAGTCGGATAATGCGACAGTGGTTCGGCGTTTCAGCAAACGCCTCTCTAAACACGCGCTGAACTCAGTTCATAAATCATGCAAATTACAAAGTAATTGATTCAAATGTGATGGACTGGGCAAACGTCACAAAAATACATACTCCTCCATCAGCCAAACGCTATTTCCCCCCCCCCCCCTGACGAACATGCGCTGTGCAAAGACAATTTCGCGACCGGGAATGTATTCTCGCCCCCAGAGGCCGCGCTCCTTTTGGTGCTGACCAAAATGAGCGCGGCCTCTGGGGACGAGAACGAAGGAAGAGAATGCCGAAAGTCATTGCTGACATCGCACAGCGTGATGGAAATGTGTTGTTCCTGTTTCATTAACACTAAATATGAATGCTTGAGATGCGAATGGCCTACTTGCAATAAATGCTCAATGTTTGAAGAAAACGAGGACGTTGAGGGATAGAGAGCCGGGAAAAGCGTTGCATACTGCGAGGCTTGTGACAGGGACTTAAAGAGAGCCGCGCCGGATCTACCGTTGTCTGAAGAGAAGAGTATCGGCATTTCGCTAGCAAGTCGTAGCGGTAACTAGTCGCGCATCGAGTGAACAGCACAGGGACACGTGCTTATTCCTGTGTTTTAATGAAGTGCAACTTGTGAAATAGGATCGACGCAGGTTCGACGTTTGCTACCACGCTGGAATTAAGTCGACTCTTTGTCGTACCTATTTTTAATTTATTCGACGCGACTTGGATTCGACGTTTGCCCTAGGCCGTAGTGACGCAAAACCAATTACTTTTCGACTCTCAAATGAAAACCGCTCTATTCTCATAATTATATTGTTTTACGTTGCTTTTGATAAAAGTGATAAGTCCAGTGGTTGTTCTTTTTTGTGGTTTCACGTTGCGTTGTCTTTCTCCCTTAACAGGACACCGCAACAAGTGGAAAAGAATGTTCTTCGTTTTAGATGGGTTTGAGCAACATTTATACTTCTTCGAAAATGAAAAGGTTAGGTACAAATTATTTTTTTATTAACTTCTTTGCGTGATGGCGAGCCACAGGACAATCGCGATTGTCTGAAGCTGTGGGATGACGTCACGTTCAGTTGCTTAGCAAGATGTTTGACAGACGTCACATTTCATCATTCCTTAGCTAGCCTCCCTCTAACTCTCTTTTTCTTTTCCATAGAGAACTAAACCAAAAGGTATGATGGATCTTAGCTTCTCTATGGTTTACGAAGTCCACCAAAGTTTTTTCGGCAGGTAAAATATAGCTAATACTCAACTCAACAAAATTACTTGCTTCTAATGGTACTGTGGTCTTATGGTTTGTAGTAATAACAATGCGGCCCTCGAGTGCGAGGGCCGCATTTGGGAATATTGGCCCGAGGTCGTGGCGCAGCGAGGCCCGTACAAAACAGACCGAGGGCCAATATTCCCCAGTGCGGCTTGAGCAAGCTAGGTTAGTAAGTAGTTTATTATATGGCAGAAAACAAAAAAAACATAGGGCTCATGACCGCTTTCATGGAAATTGAGTTTGTGTCGCAAAATCATGACCAAGAAAGAACCAATCAGAATGTTCAGATTTGCCTCAAGAGACTACCTTGCCATATAATAATCTGGTGTCAGTATTGTCTTATGGTGTGTTGTAATCTGTAATCAAACGCTACGCAAGGAATAGTTAGATTTTTCGATCATTTTCCGTCATTCATTCGATTGAGCCACATCGACCACATTTGCCGATCGTCTGCATTCTATACGATAAATATTAAGTCAACAATATTTTGCGAATAAGGTTTTATTGATTTCGTAATTATTTCCTCTCTTTCTCTTCTTCTTTTTTTCTTCTTTTCAAGGCCAAACTGTTTTCAAGTGGTGGTGCGGGCATTCAACGAGTCCCGGATGTTCTACCTTTGTGCCGACACACAGGATCTTGCAAACGTGAGGAGTTTGTTAATGTTTCGCCATTGCACATGATACCTTTAATATGAGATGAAATCTGGAGCGAATCTCAGTCATCTGGCGGTTGCTTGTGGGACCGAGGGCCCTGCGAATCCACTGAGGGCCGCCCCACAGGTCACGTACCGTCGAGGGGCAGGCCGCTGGCTGCATTGGTTTGAGTCTAATTTTGCCTATAATATATTTAGCCACATGTTACTCGTAGGAAACAATATGGCTTCTAATCTTCTGGGTTCTCCCTAGTAATGGTCCCAGAAGTGACTGCGAGATGAAACTCGCTCCAGATTTCTTCTTGTTTCTTAAGAGGCGAATTTCCATGTGACCGAAGAAGTTGAAAATGAGAACGTGAGGCAAAAAGGTAGTCTCTGGAACTGGCTTGCCATTATTTTTTCCGCGCTGTTGATAATGCAATCAGCTTAAACACTTTGCTAAAGTTCTTGGATCGAAGGAATTTTTCAATGTGCTTGCTGTACCCGGGAACAAACCAATTTATGCTAGCCTGCTTTTCTTATCGATCAGATTACGTTTCTCGTGCTAGAAAATCAATCTTCCTTGCTCATAACGTTATGACATTTTTTTTTTCTGTATTTCAGGAATGGATGGAGGCCATCAAAAAGTTTTGCGGTAAACCAGTGAACACGAACCTCGGCGAGCGCGATGTTAAACAGCTCAGGAGTCTGGAAGTGATCATTGTTGAGGCGCACAAACTGAGTTCCAATAAAGTTTCACATCCTTACTGTATGATCTCTTTGAACGAAGTCAAAACGTGCAGGACAAAGACACAGGAAGGACACTCGCCGATATGGAACGAGGAGTTTAAATTCAAGTAAGCGGCGACTAGTGGAGTTCTGAAAAGAAATTTCGGTATTGAAAATGAGTCACCTTTCCACTCACCTCGCGTTTGTTACTCTGCTTGAAAAAAGAACTAGATTCCATTAGTCTTGATTCATTCTAATCGGAGTACAGGATTTATAGCCAAATGGTAACATGTGTAACCATTTGTGAACTGAACGACCTTGGCTGTGGAGTCCATAGTGGGTATTGCGTAATAACCTCATTAATATGTCAGGTTGTCGAAGTCTTCTTGCGTAATTCTCTTTTGTTTTGAATTTGAAAGAAGCTTTCCGCCATTAACTGTTTCTACAGCTGTTTTCGTTGCCTGTTTTTTTATGTGTGGGGTTTTTGTTTTTTTTTCCGCTGGATACAGAACTTACGGATCTACCATGCAATGTTAACCTTAATTGCCTCAGGTTATTAACCGTTTTTGCATGATAAGTACCGCTAACTGGGCTATTGCCTATATTTGCTTTCAACGAGTTCAAGTACCAGGGGTGTTATGTAACGTTAAGATATACAGCAATACTACCGTGTAATAAGCAATATTACCATGTAATAAGCAATACTACCGTGTAGTAATTTGTGTTTTTCTTGTAGTGACCTACCCTCCGATGTATCGTATTACTCAGTTGATCTTTACAATCGCAACAAACGCTCCAAAGATGTTCTAGTTGGTATGTGTGGGTCATACACAATGTGTAATCTATCAAGCAGTTTGACATTTTTTCACTTATGCCCTTTAGGCAGCGTTCACACTATGCCGGAGGAATGTGAAAACGTAGCTGCATTTCTACAATTTGGCCAACCATCCACACTAATCCGTCACGAAAACGGGGCTTCTCTAAAACGCTCTCCGAAACGAAGGAATTTGAAAACGTCGGCTTTTCGATTGCGTGTGGAGGGAAAACATTTTGAAAACGGAGCTTTTCGAAAACGATGGCGTCACGATGATCATCATCCTCAAACACAAATCCAAAGTGACCGGTGATTGTTGCATTTGCAAATTCCTCCCGCTTAGTGTGGACGGGGCTTTAGTTTGCATTCTGCCTACCTTCACATCGTGGGAAAAAGCTTGTTCTACGAGTGAATGCTCAGTATGCATATTGAAGCTATTCTGTGCTAAGGACTCACGTATAACTTATATAAACAAACTTGTGTTTCTTGTTTGAGCAAAGTATTCAATGTAAAGTAGACAAAGCAAAAAGGTGTAATCTTGAACCTTTTGACGTTGGGCTTGACTTGGAAACGGTTGATTTGCTTGCTTTGACGTTGGCCATAGCCCTTGAAAACTAAATCTGGTTAAATCTTGTAAGTGACGGTAAGTAACTGATAACTGCCTCACAATCGAACTGTTGCTTTATCTTGTCTTCAACAGGAAGTGCGATGGTTCCATTGAACCGTTTACCAAAAGGAAACGTTTTAGATGAATGGTACCCAATCCTCCCTCCCTCTCACTCCAAAATGGAGGTCGGTAGCATTCGCGTCAGGAGTAAATTCACGGTAAGACAAACTGACAGCAATACCTTAAGCGATTTTCACTAGAATTTTGAAAGTAATTCCCATTTGCTTTGGTTTTTCATTACCACGCTAAACGATTGGCTAAAACAACTCGCGCCACTTTTTCATGCAATCAGTATTTAACCAGAACCAATAGTGTCTCGCTCGAACACGTTTTCCCGCTCTTTACGTCGGCTACACGGCCTTGAGTTTTGATTGGTTCATTGATTGTCTGTGTCATTTGTGATTGGTCAGAGTGGTTACTCGGGTTTTGGTTTTAGAACACTCAAATGCAAATAACAGTTTCTCCGGAATGTTCAGATATTGTCTAAACTACTTATTCCTTTGTGGAAGCTGTATTGAAAAACGACGTTTTAGGCATTTATGTAGCATCTGAATTTCGATTGACGGAGCGAACTATTATTCTGTTTTGCAGCATGAAATCATTATGCCTGTTGAAGAATATAATTCACTAAAAGAGGTACGTGTGCTTTAACTGAACCAAATCTAGAGAGACTGCTGAGAGGTTGTGTGTTTGTGCGACAATAGCGACAACAACAACAACAACAACAACAGCAACAACAACAACAACAACATCTATATACTACCTGGTAACATGTGACGGAAAAGTCAGGTGAATTTGAACGAAACCAAAGGGTAATTAAGTCAGGAACAGACATTTTGGGGAGGACAAGGAATTTTAGGGGCTTGCTTTAAACGTCGGGGGAAATGAACAAAATTGCATATCAACGAGAAGCGATATTTGGCCGCGTATAAAGCCCCGGCCAAACGATCGCAACATGTCAACGCAACATATCGCAACATTGTTGGGCGCAACATGTTGCGTGCGTTTGGCCACCGTGTTGCGAT